GCGCCTTTTGCACGGACTCCATTACGTCAACATCCTGCCATGATGGGACTAAATGCCTCATTTTCCTGTCTGCCTTCAGGACCTGAGAAATTGCCTTTTCCTGGTCAAGTAGTAAGGTTCGATCATGTAAGTAGTAAGTAGTTCGATCATGTTGAGTCTCGAACCCCATCGTGTTGGAGACTCAGTGACGAGCTTCTGCTGAGGTAGCTTTAGGTCAGTTTGAGCTTTACTTAAATCCCTCTTTTTCTTCCAGCTGAACGAGAATGTACTGACGACTTTCTTGCAGACAGATGTTACACGTTCAACACGAGGGCCTTTGGCACTTTTTTCTAATTAAAAAGAATTAAGTATTATATGAGATTTAATCTAATACACAATGTAAAGTTTAATTTACAAATATTTATATTGTTTATTGAAGCCATTTAGGTGTTTAACTAAAACGTAAACAATGTAACAAAAAGTAAAACAAAATAATTACATATACTGCAAATATTATTGCAAACAAATCTCCTAATTTTACTGTTCATGGTAAATGTTCAATGTAATTTTTAATTACAGAGACAATGTATTTTTAGTTGCACTCACCGATAGCTAGGTGAAGTCTGTGCCCAAAGCATTGCAGACGAGTCCAGCTGTTAAGCTCCAACGCTTTAACCATATTGGCCCCGCTATCTGTCGTCATGCAGGTCATGTTTTCTTCTTTCAGTCCCCAACCTTCAAGCGCGTCTCTAAGGCCTTGCGCTATTCTCCAGTGTGATCATCTGGGAAATATGTCGTCTCTAGATACGCGCTGCGCAGCTTCCAGTCATGAAGCCAGTGTATTGTCAGGCTTAAATAAGGCTCTGACGTACGGCTAGACCACAAATCAGCCGTTGTAGCAAAAAACTTTACATTTTCAACAGTGTGTTGCATCCTGCTGCGGCACTCGGAATAAAGCTGTGGAATGGCGGTGGAGGAAAAATATTTGCGGCTGGGTATTTGGTAACGTGGATCTACGACTTTGAGCAGTTGTCTAAAGCCCTCATTTTCCACAGTCTTTATGGGAATCATGTCTTTGGCCAGGTAAAATGTCACCACGTCAGTTACATCTTTCCAGCGCTTGCTCGTTCTGTCATACGGAGTTCCTTTCTCAAATGCTTCTTTCGTTAGAGTTGGTTGTTTAAGCCTTGCTTCTGGCTGCTTGGTTGTACCTGCTGATCTACTCGCGTGCAGTCCCTTCATACCGTGACAGTCTGCATATTCTTTTGGATGCTTTCTTTTGAGGTGGAAAAAAAGGTTAGTTGTGTTGCCATCCGACGCGCAAATCTGCTCACTGCAACACTTGCAAATAACTGTGGTTTGTCCTGTGTCTGCTGGCGAAAAACCAAACCACTTCCATATCACTGATGTCGAGTTTTTTTTTTTAGACACAAACTCCTCCGCATTTTCCTTCATTGTCACTGATGGTGTTGTGTAATCTCATACGAGCTTGTTAACATGGCGGCGTGCCATGTTGAGGGCGGGATCTAGAATGAATGAATAGAACTACAATGGATAGAACGTGCACATATGACGATATTACAATATTGTTGAAAAAGTGTATCGTCCAGTCCTTATAATCCTCCACGATATAATATCGTCATATCGCCCACCCCTAGGTGGGGGTGGGATAATCTTTTCATGTGTGTGCACTCTTGTCTGTTTTTATGTGTTTAAGGATTAACATAGACATTCCTCAGACTCACACACTGTCACATAGACTCAAACTCATCCGGCACACAAAGCCCTGGAATCCATCCTCGCTGCTCTTTTTTTTTTTCCTGCTATTCATCCCTCTTGTCACCCACCACAACACTGTCTTTCACTGTTTCATTGGTTTCCTTTGCTTGCTTCTGCTCTCTCACGCTACTCGGCCCCTTCGCATTCTGTTCCACTTCTGACATATTGTTTGATCCGACTGTGGCTTGTTAGCTTCCACTGTATTTTCTGGTAGTTTAAAGATAGTAACTATAGTGAGGTTCTGTAGTCTGTAAATGTACTGTACCGGTTCAGTCTCACCACTCTCACAGTGTCAGTTTCATACACAATAGTCAACTGTTTTCAACCAGAAAGCCCGAAAATTCCATTGTGCATCATCAAGCATGCACTGGTTTTTAAACTCTTGATCTGAGTTTGCTGATTCTCTTGTGGCCACATGCTGTCAGCTGTCATCCAGACTTCATTTCAGAGGTGACTTCTGACCCAGAATGCCACAGGCTGCACACATGGCTGATTGAGTTGTCCATTCCTGTGTGTGGGTCTGTACTCGTGTTTATGCCGGTGGCTCTGTTAGCGTTCCTTTGTATCCAGGGGCTTGGAGGCTCTGCATCACTGTATGTGCTTAGTTTGAGTGCTTGTGTCTGTTGTTGTGCGCTCCATTATTTCCGAGGCTGTGGAGTTTTCTTTCACAAAGGGAGGCTTCTATACACATACACATATAGAGGCTGTACATATGCAAATGCATTCAGTCATTCACACACATGCAGTCACACAGTGTAACTGCAGACACACAAATGTGACAGACACAAATGAGTCTCATTCATGTTTGTTGTGTGCCAGCATCCATGTTGCACACATGTGTGTGTGTGTTGTCCTATGGTGTAGTGTGGTATCTGTAGCTAAAATAGTCACTCATAAGGTAAGACATAGCCCAGTGCACATCTCATTTGCACTAAAGAGTACAAGCCTCTGTGCTGATGTGGTTTCAATCATTGGGCTAGAAATGTACAAGCCCTGCTGCAATAATGTGGCACTAAGTGTCAAAACTAAAGACTGAGTGCTACAGCACTTTGAACTGTACTTTGGTTGGTAAAGCAAACAGGCAGCAAGGCCCAGATGTAAGTCTGAATGAGGTGGTTTCCCACACGTTAACTGGAGGTTTAAAAGGTTGATTCACCTGGATCACAAAAGACTTAGTGGTATCTGGCCATGCAGCTAGTTCTCAGCAACATGTCAGCTTCCCTGGATAATTATCCAGAGACCCATTTCAGTGTTGTTGAACCATTTGGTGAGTTTGGCATTATCACATACCACTTCATCTTTTTTTTTCTTTTAACACATACCAGTTCTGAAAAGCACATTTAACTGTTAAACAGTGTAGGAAGTTTAAAGTTCACATCTGATCTGACAGCCGTCATGTCTTTGTGTCTTTCAGGCCTCCGTTCCTAAGCTGACGACTCTCTGCTTAGATATCCAAGAAGTCCGACGTTGCAACCGGCTGGAGATGCCCGACAACCTGAACACATTTGTTTTAAAGGTACATGCAGGTCCTCACGCTGTGTGATGAACTGTTTCTGTTCAAATGTAGATTCTTTCCCTCTGAGTTGTTTACATCCACAGTGTTTAGGTCTTAAACCCTGAATCCGACATGAAGAGGAAGCAAAGCAAAGGAATTGTGTCATGTCATTTCATAACAGAACTCACTATATTGCCTTAATTTAAGACTGGTTAGACAAACTTAAAGGATACTCCACCCTGACCTTGTCTCGTGAGGATTAAAACATCCACAGAAACTTCTCAAACCCCTCTCCTGCAGCCAGTTCAGCCCACATCCTTTGTGGGTTTCAAATAATTATTGTTTCACCAATTTATGGAAAATGCGCTCCCTCTGAGTTGGGCTGCTGTCCTCTTTGAAGGTTTGCCAGAAGCTGTTTCCTGTGTCCCAGACTGACTCGATGATGATGAGATCAGGGTTCTGTGTGAGCCATACCATCAGTTGTTCTTCTTGTCACTGAAGATACTTTCTGATCAGTCTCGCTGCATGTTTGTGGTTTTACTTCCTGTTTGTTGAGAGAAAAGATAATTGCTTTCTACAGTTGTAAAGTCCAGTATAACTGTAATATAAACAGCTGTGCAGTGTCTTGGCTTCTGGCAAGTCTTCACAGATCTGTTACTCAAACTGGACCTCCTGGATTGTATTTCATGTCTCACTTGGACCTAAAGGAACGTATCCAAGCAGCACGGCCCCCTGCGTGGTGTTAACACAGGGTTGAATTTGGTCAGAATGCCCACTCTGGACAGCAGAGAAAGGATTGCTGTATGCTACAAGAGTGGTTTGGGAACTTTTTACGACCTTTATAATGAATGTGAGCTTTTCCACTGTGGAAATTTGCCATCATTTGTTTCATCCAACATGAAGCCAACCTAATTACAACCTCTTTATCACCAACAGGAAGCAAATAGACATTTTACATCAATTTGATAGTAGTTTACATATCAAGGAAAATGTTAAGTTTGCTTTTAAAATTACTGGCTACTCTCCTCCATCTTGTTTTTAATAGATCAACTTTATCTTCACCAAAGGCCTGTTACAGATGATTCTCACTGGGCAGTGCAGGCAGCGAAGTACATTCGCTACCTTTTGTTAACCTTTGACACTTCAGGCTTACTTTGCTTCTCTGTACTTATGTAGTGTTTTAATGTTTTAATTTATTGCAGCTGCAATACAGATTCACTGAGTTTTAAATATGTAGATCAGTTCCACAAAAAGGAAAAGGTCCTTCTCTGTCATTTTTCTAAAGTTATCTCCTTGTCACAGAGAACACTTTTAGTACTAATAAAAAAAAAAAGTACTAATACATTTAGGCATCACGTTCCTAAATAAGAATAAACACATATGAAAAAAGAAACAAACCCAGAAGCATGAAAGAAAATGCCACAAGACCACAAGAATAAAACAATGCAAAGAATAAAAGTGTACCTTGTGTCTTTTACTTGTGATTAAAGTGTTGGTCTAAGCTTCAGTTTCAGGCTTTAGACAGGACCCCAGTGTCTGTGTAATGCAGATGGTGTGTTTGAATGCATCTTTCTTTCTGCAGGTTAATCGGGGTAGTCTGATATTTGAAACGGACAACGACCAGCAGGTCAGCTCCTGGACCACAGAGCTAAAAGAATGTATCAGCAACAGGTGAGAAACACAAAGACGGATGCTTAACCCAGAACCCAGTCTGTTTCTAGCACAGAAGTTTTCTCTTTAAACTTAAACCAGGTCAGAATTGTTGTTTTTTGTTAGTGCAAACTAAACTTAACACTCAAGCTGCAAAAAAAAAAATAGTATTTACAAGTAAAATGTAAAACTAAAACTTCAGATCAGTAACTTAGCCTCACTGGTGGAAAGTAATTAAGTACATTTACGAATAGTTTTGAGGTGCTTATTTCAATTTCAGGCTGCTTTCTTTTTCCACTCCACTACATTTTAAAGGGAAAATACTGTAGTTTTTACTCTACATTTGACACTTGGCAGAGAATTTACACACAGATCCTATTATTACAGACTGCTGCATTTTGTGTGCGGTGTTGTATGTAGTAGGAGCCTCTTTGAGCTCCTAATATTTCCACTAAGACATTTCCCCTCATCACATGGTTTTGTTAAAGAGTTGGCAGAGGGGAGGCACAGAGGTAGATCGGAGAAAGGTCCGTGCATTATTTTGTACAAAATGTAAAACTGTTCTTCTCCCATTAATGATCCCACAGCCCCTCAGGTGCATCTCGTGGCCCTTTGGAGGGCCCTAGGCTGCTGGGTAGTACTGGACCAAACTACCGACCTGTTTACAAAGTAGTTAAAACTAGTTGCATCTTGACCAGCTGCAACAGCAAAGTGCTGCTTATATACTGATACATTTACACTTGTAATATTTAATTATGTATCAGTCACCGGGGCCATTTTCCTGCAAAACCAGTACTTTTGATATTTAGAGTATAGCAAATATGTCTCCTTACATTGATTTTAAATGAGGACTTTGACTTTAATGATGCATTAGCACTTTTACTTTAGTAATGGGAATACTTCTTCCACCACTGCTTACTTCGGTTTAACCCAGCAAGCTGAGTCCCAGATACGCATGCACACACATTCACAGACGCACATAAGTATGTGACAGCAACCTGTGTCATCCTCGTCCATCTTTCTTGATGCAGCGACTGAGATTCTAAGTGGAAATATTTAACACTTGGACTTTTTTTTTAGTGTTTGTGTGCATGCTGGATGTTTACTTTTGCCAAGGAATGTGTTTGCAAATGCAAGTGAGAATATTTTGTAGTGTTTGTGTATATGTGGACAAACATTTGTGTTTGTGTGTGCATGTTTGTCTCTTCCTGATCTTTAGAGTTTGCATTAATTTGTTTTAATGGCTCTACACACTGGAGCAGGTATGAGTCTTATTCTATTTGGAATATTGCTTTAAATAATCATTCATCAAACTGATCAGTTAACTTAATATTTACACTTGATGTCTGAGGGGTAACACGCGGTATGGGGGAGTATTCAAGGACTTGAAAGTTCTGCAATTGATCCTGGTGACTTTGTGTCTGAAATGCAGTAGACTGTATGTTTACAACCTGGTCCCTGGTTTGATTGTGGCTGGACAACTGGGTCTGATCGTTGCACATTACTCTCCCTGTCTCCCCTCCTTATTTCCTGTCACGGCTCTTTTGTCCAGCTTCGATAAAGGCAGAAAGAACTGTGAAACTGAAATGTATCATTAACAGAATTATAATCGGTATATTGGATTTAAAAACAGTTAAAATATCATTAATAGTCATTAAAAATGGTCTATGAAATTAATTCCTAAATGACATGTGTTACTGAGTTCATAAAAGATAGGTGTTTAAGAAATTTGATTTTTAATCCAAAAAAATCTCAGAATAAGACGAGCAGAGTAGAAGTCATGAAAGACATTTAAACTTAGGTTGTTTCTTAAAAGAAGCTGCTTAGATTAGCATGTTAGGCAGTAAACCGTACACTGTATACTGTTTTTGTTGCAGTGTGATAGTTTCTCACCCTGTGAGGGGGGGGGGCCTCTGTGAAAGGAAGTGTGGGGGAGGTCCGAGACTCAGGAGAATCTCAGGACCTTTCTCATTTCTGCAGATGTCTGGAATGCTCTCACACACAGACACACACACACACACACACAATTGTGTCTAACTATACTGGCTAAAATGTCCTCACAACGATGGCAATGAATAAAAATGTATCCACACAAAGACGTGTGTACACACACACACACACACACACACAGTTGTTTGTCACTTCAAGGGACATTACATTGATTTGATTGAGTGCATGTGTTACTATATTTATTATGACTGTGTGTGTCTTTCTGTGGTTGTGTGGACAACTTTTAGTTTGAGAATACTTTGCCATGTCCTCGCACCTTCAGAGAGCTGTTTGAGAGTTAAGATGGGTTTTAGAGTTCAGGATAGAATTAGGTTTAGTGTTAGGGTGAGGGCTGTTGTTAGGCATTCAGTTGTGATGGCTGAGGTCATATGTCAGTGAGTGTCCTCGTTTGTGGATGTGCATTGTAATACTAATATCATAAAATAATAATAATAATGTCAGACCATATACTGGCCTGGCTCTCGTCGCTGTTAAAGGGTCACTTTTCTTTCTAGGCTGATATGAATATGCATGAGTGTTGTGGTTACTGATAAACCTATAAATGCATCATTCTTTTCTCCCACTCCAACTTCTACTGGATCATATTTCAGTTTCTACTGTGAGAAAGGCCTGTCGGCTGAATGCATACGCCATTGTCACCGTTTGGTCTCGTCATGATCAATCATACAGAGAGGCAGTGTGATGCAGTCCAGGGGAAAATGGTGGCAGGCTTTTGACATCTGTAACGGGTATAACACTTTCCATATGTGGTCAGGTGCTGTAGGTGGTAGGTTGTTTCAAGCGTACTGAGCCCTTAACTCTTATCCTTGAAGCTTTGCTGACAGGCTGAGATATCCTCATTTTGCTGGAGTAAAACTTTAGTATCACAAAGACAGAAGAACAGAAATACACACACAGAGGAGAAAGGAGAGTTGTCTTTGTTATTCAGAGTGCTACACACTGAAGTAGCATTTTATCAGGAATTGCTCCAGATTCCCTCTTGAACCATATGTGTATGTTTAAACAGTCTTTTTGTGTGTGTGTGTGTGTGAGAGAGAGAGAGAGAGAGAGAGAGCAGTGATGAAACAGGAGAACAGTGAGCCTTGGTTTAGATCTGAACTGGTGGACAGGACTCGCACCCTGTCTGTGCTCTGTGTCTTTGTGTTCCTTCAAACCACTGTTTCCTCCATGTTCACTAGACTCATCACATTTATTCAGGTGCTTTATGTATGTTGTTTCTTTTTATATCCTGCTGTATTTCCCCTAAAAGTGGTTATGTTGACTCTGTAGCTAGTGCTAATTTTACTATCACTACCTCCATTGTTGAGATTTGGGGAAATGAAAATTTGCATTAAGTGGCCGTCCTCAGGGTGATCATAGTTCATATATCATATTTCTCTGGTGGTTGACAATGAGAGTAACATGTACACATCTGGTGTGTACGTGATCCAATGTGTGTAATCACAATCTGTGTTTATGCTTCAGGTCTGGCAGTGTGGATCTGGAGCCCCTCCCCTCACCAGCTGACAGCTCCCTGCCAGCCAATCACAGAGGGAGCTTTGAGCCAGCAAGTCAAAGTGAGTGGTGGGATGAGTACACGACTGATCAGACGGTCTGGGTGTAGTTGTGGTCGTTCCCAAAATGTCCTCCTAAAACTACCGGGTTTACCATTCTGGGACAAAAAGTTGAAGTGCCGGTACTCAGGGGTAATGACTTTCAGGTGCACTGTCATAGGAGGCACATGTCCCTTCTGGTTTGGGAAAAAGTCAGCCAGCCTTTCTACCTTAAATGCATACAAGGACTTGAGTAGATGCATGGAAGTAGGTACAACTTTGCTAAGGGATGTTACAACCTAGCTGAAACAAAGTCCAGTAATATGAACCTGTTGTAGCAAACGGGTGCCTGTTTACACATCCAGTGCTGTTTCTATCCATCAGATAAATGGAAGTCTGGGTGGGCCACGGAAAAGTAGCCCGCCTCTAAAACACTCCACTTGCTCGGTCTACTCTTCTGTGGCCCACCCTGTATTTTGATCTCTACCAACTAGCTCTTCAGCCGCTAAATTCTCCACTGTGTTCATCAGACAGTGGGTGTTTAGAGCTTACAGTATTTGTTGAAAAGTGACACTGAAACAAAACGGTAGAGAAAACTGGACTGAAATGCTCTGAGTTGGGTGATATTTAGTTTGTCACTACAGGTGACACCTTACACATCACCTGTAGTCAGTGGATCCAGTATCAGTATAAAAATATTGATTAGTCCAGCTTTACAGTATGATTTAAAAGAAGTGAACTTCTCTGTTCTTCCCTGCAGGTCCTGTCACCTTCAACCTGCCACAGGATGTCCAGAAGACGGATCACTTCCTGTTTTCCTACCCCTGGTTCCACGGGCCCATCTCTCGCGTCAAGGCAGCTCACTTGGTTCAGAGCTGTGGACCAGGTGGTCATGGAGTGTTTCTGGTCCGACAGAGCGAGACGCGCAGGGGAGACTACGTCCTCACATTTAACTACCAGGGAAAAGCAAAGGTACGTCTCACGTCACAAGACCGAAGGCTCGTTTGCACCGACAGCTCAGTCCACACCCTGAAGTGGTTCACCGGGAAATCTGGTAAAATATCAGAAGGCTTTTACCAAACCCACAATTCTTTTCACCTGTGTACATCAAACTGACAACAGTAGTAAACACTTAAATGAGACAGAATTATGCAGACTTATGAATGCTGACCCCTGAGGTTAAGAAAAGTAGATTCACAGTGTAGCTCTTGAGTCAGACAGTGTGAAAGTCTCCTGCTTTGTTCTTTCCTCATGACTCTCTCTCTGTGTGTCTGCAGCACCTGCGCCTCTCTCTGACAGAGTGGGGTCAGTGCCGGGTGCAGCACCTGCGCTTCCCTTCTGTTATGGACATGCTTAGTCACTTCCGCCTCTTCCCCATCCCACTGGAGTGTGGAGCCGCCGGAGCGGTCACGCTGTCCAGCTTCGTAGTGGCAGGCTCCAGCCCTCCATCACAGGGTGAGACTCCTCATTCAGGTCCCATCACTTTGTCAAAGAAAACTAAAGATGTCTGAGTGCTTAACAGGTGAAGCTGATTTTTACATCACCATCTTTATTATGCCTCATTTGTATAGGCTATCATAGGTAATATAAGGTGGTGTGTTATGTTTCTGTCAAAAAAAAAAAACTGGGTGGAAATGCAGAAAATTGGAAAGAAAAATCTCAAAATGTGGCGTTTTTGGCTGAGGTGGAAAATCATGATGTACATGTGACCTAAACAGGCGACAAACAGCGGCAGGTAAAGACATCAGCTCTGTGTGAAGTGATAAGGAGGCTGTAATACAACGACTAAATACCATTTGTTCTGTTTTCTTTACATCATTTCTCACATGGTTGGTGCTGTGGCCTTGCATTCTGTGATGGTGAAATTGTCCCAGGGTGGAGAATCAGCTCCACCTGCTGCTTACTGACAGGAACAACTCCTTATTTTTGCAGCAGTGGATGGAAAAGTGCATTTATTTGTGTTCTTTTATTGTCTTTTTTTTTAAATTCAGTACAAATTTGCACTACATTTGGGTGGAAACCTGGTTATTGCTGAGATCTGGGAACGTGGTGACGTTGCTGCAACAAACTGCAGCAGTCGGAGGATCAGCGGTTCCCAACCTGTGGATTAGAGTCACTTGACTGGGTCACAGGATAAATCTGCGAAGCAATGCAGTAATGAACAGTACATAGTATGAGACAAATTTTTAATGAGTTTTGATAATCCTTTTTTTCTTGAGCTATTAAATAGTTTTACATTTTATAAGAATTTTTCAAATTAATACACTTAAACATTATGACACAACTCATGGGCATACAGATATTTCTATGTTTTAAGGGGTCACAAAGACAAAAATGTCACACTGTACCACTGTATGTGGGAGTAGAAGGTGAAAATATGAAATGTCACTTTGTATTCTGCATTGCAAAAAAAAAAAAACCTGTGTGCACAACAATGGCAAATACAGTAAACATAAGTTTGAGCTAGGAAGCTGGTCTGTAAACCTGGTGGATGCTTACATCTGACAATTTGAGTAATAATTTTACAGTTCACCTATTTTCCTCTTTAGAGTAAGTTTCCAGATGTTGGTAATTATGCTTTCAATTCTAATGATGACCAAAACTATACAAATAAGATTGAGAATGACCCTATATTGAGTTGAATGCTGTGCTGTAATGGTAAGCAGGTGCACAGCAGAAATCCAAAGGAGTCTGAATTTTTGCTTGATGTTTTCTTTTTTTCTTTCTCTCTCAGGTCAGCTCTCAGGCTCTCTCCTGGTGCCTTTCTCCCTTCACCGGTGGAGTTCTGAGCCCAGTTTGGCTCACTGCAGCTTGGCTCGCAGCTCTAGTCAGCCCCCCTCCTCCTGCTCCAGCACCACTTCCAATCCCAGCTCTGTTTCCCAGCAGGCAAACCACCCATTCTCTCGCACCAACCCTGTCCCTGACCCTCCTCCGTCAGCCCCTTCTTCTCTGCGTCGAAGTGAATCAGTAGGGAGGAGGCCTCTGCTTCGCCACCCCAACCCCCACACTCCCATCATCCCTCAGCGTGACTCGGACTATGAGCTGGAACCCGAGCGGGGCCGTAAGCGGGCAATAGACAACCAGTACATGTTGCTCTGACCCACTGAGCCAGACACTTCCATAGCCTCTGAAAGACGGTCGTCGCCTGTGAAGCCAACATGCTCACACCCTCGATCGTACAGACACATTTTGCTACTCCCATCCAGCTTCGGGTGCGTGGGTGACACACTCTGACCCGACTATAGCAGACTCATGAACTTGAGTGAACAAGTCTTTGCTAAATGAATGCAGAGCAATGTGTATGTCAGTACACATGCAGTCGGTGTCTGAGCTGGGTGTGTGTTCATCAGTCAGACCCTCGCAGCCTCCAAACCGAGTGTCCACAGTGAATGTATTTTTGGGAGTTTTATAGTTGTGTTAATGACGATGATGATTCGTGTTTTATGATTGTCGAGGTTCAGTGTGAGAGAGGGAGAGCCACGTGTCTGTCCTCGAGCCCAGGCAAAAATATTTCTGTTCTGGTGAATTTATAGGCGTGTGCTCGGTTTAACGTCTTCAGCTCTTAACCTGAAATAGTGGGAAAGCACTGATTAAATCAAGTGCTCTTTTAAATATTTAAAAGGTGTTTCCAGTTCCCAGTGTGGAGCAAACTGCTACATGTTTCTGTGAACACAAACAAACAAGCACTCTACTGTAGAGTGTAATTATACATTATTATATGTTGAAGTGCACATCGCTTTCAGTGCACTTTGGAAACAGTATTTTTTCTATACATGTTCTTTTGTACAAAAATGAAAAATATACAGTAAAAAGGAGAAACCTTGGTTAGAGTCAGGAAGGAAAGCTTTTCCTAGGAACCTGTCAAGCACCTCCTCCACTCCTTCAGGCCTTCACTGAAGCAGTCACAGAGAACCACAGAAATGATTCAAGATCAGCTTTTATCAGCACAGTTTTTAGCCAAAGAAGGGGGAAACTCGTCACTGCTCGTGGTATGTGTCCATTGCGTGTGTCGGATAAATGAAAGTGTAAGTTCATCAGCTTGGTTGTGCTGATCTCAGTCTGGTACAGTATTCACCTGGGTCTGAGTGAATTTGTGTCCCAGTACTCACCACAAAGGCATTGTGTGTGTGTGCAAAATTATCATTGTCTCAGAATTCATTTCTGCCACAAAAACAGAGAAAATGGAAGGATGTGATCACAGTAGACCTGAACAGTGGTTGATAGATATTACCATGTAAGTTTGTAACACTTACAAATTAACACAGTAATAATAAGTAATTTGTCCTGATACTTGCTAAGAGTTTCACATCAGAAGTACATACATACATAAATTAGGGATGTCCCGATCCAGTTTTTTTTTTTTTTGCCCCGATACGAATCCAGATCCTTTTAATATTGTACCGATTCCATTAGAATATTTATATTTACCTTCAGTAAGTGTTCATAAAATATCTGGATCAGGTCCTGGTTCCAAAATAGTACAGTTAGTCTTAAATTATTGACATGAATAAAAGAGTAACAGGGAGCTTGACAACACACTTGTGTATAATCCAAGCAGCAAACACACTGGAGTGATTAATATAGCAGCTTATCGGTTGTGTGACGCGTGTCTCAAAAACGCAACTCGGTCTGCTCAAATAGAGGACTGCAGTTCTACATACGGATCAGAATTGGATCAGGTTTTTAGTGGCCGATGCTGATCCTGTTGGCAACAATATCGGATCGGGACATCTCTTATGATATGCTATGACAGGTGTGACAGAAGAGCCAACATCATTGGCTACTATAGATTGTCTTTTGTCCCAGTGGCGACACAGATGAGACAAAGTGCATCTGTGGGACAATAAAAGTACTTAAAACAAATTTTATTCAGTGTTAAATTGGTAATAGAATATTAATTATACTAAAATGATTCAACTCTATTTTATTGCTTTTGTGGCATAAATAGTATTCTGTGAAGAAAATCGCATTTGGCAAACCAAGGTGTGCATGTACATACACACACACACGAGCATTCAAGAGAGGATGTAAAACTTGAAAGGCTTCACTCCAAAGAGCATGAGAGGGTGAAACAGACAAAGGAGAGTAGGAAGTAAATCTGTGTCAGCCGAAATAATTAGCCATATCATGTCCTCTCAGGTCATGTGGATTCTCAAAACAAGTGAGGGTCCAAGTACTGGAAACTTCAAACCAGGGTTTCAAATGCTTGAAACCTTCTTCAAAAAAAGTCTTGTTATGGTTTGATAATCTAGCATTAAACCCTTAATGGGCTCTTAAATGTAGATGTGATGCAACTCGAGAACTGACGCTGAAAATTGTACTGGTGCCTCTATAGAAATTCACATTTATTTTCTTACAACTTTAGACAAATCCTGATTCTGGGAGCAGCATCACGTCACCGACTCTACCTTGTACACATAGCATTAATTATATTTCATAGTACTTTCTAGAGATCTTCACCACAGCAGCCAATAGAAGAAATGAGGGACTGTGAAAATTATATATTTTTAGACTAGACATATTTTTTAATAGAACCTCCATGTTTTTTAAGAAAGGGCTTTTGGGGGTGGGGGTTGGGGGTGTTCAATTAGCAAAGCTTTATCCTTTGAACGTGACCAAATGTGCCGTGAGATGTTAAAGCGGTCAGACACCATTCCTCAGTGTAGCTGGTCTTTGCTCGCTGGCTCCATGTTTCTGTGCCCTTTAATAGGATTTTATGATTAATCACTAATTTGCGGTGCCTTGAGAGGTTTGTCATTTTGCCTTTAAAGGTTTAAACCATCAGTTTAAAGCTCCATATACATGAAATGGCACCGACAACTATGGCCACCTTGTGTACTCGCGCTCTCTTGTGTTTGTTGTTCACATTGAGAGCCGCTGTACCAGAGTCAAATTCCTCATGTGTCTGACACACCTGGCCAATAAAGCTGATTCTGATTCTCCAGAATGTACATCACTCAACTCAGGTGTGAATTTTATTGTCCAGAGCTGGTTTACTAGGTTTTGTTAAAGGATTTTTTACAGAAAAATACCACATAGATTTTTACCAAAGGTCTGCTTCCCCTCAAAAGCATCCAAAGACCTGATGTGTAACCCAGACTAATCCAAACCTTACGGTGATGATAAATGATGAGCCTGTGGCCGGGTTAGATTTTTTTGTTCAATCTTTTGAACCGTGTCTCTCCTCCCAACCCAGAAACTTTCAGAAGCCTTTTGTTGTTTTGGAAAACAGATGCAGAAAGTCCCATAAACAATGATCAGTTCACATAAAGGTAGTAGAAGTATTTTCTCAAAGATTAAATACCAAATTTTCTGTAACTTTTTTTTTTAAATAACTGAAGTTTTACTTGCCTTTTGGGAAAAATTGTGCTCGATTTGTCTTCTAACCTTGCTTTAACACTAACTTTAGCAGTTGATTTTAAGATTTACAGTCAGTGATCCTGTGCTTACTATTGGGTTTAGACCAGATTTCTGTCACTCTGCTCTCATCATTGTAGTTCCCTGGTTTTCTTCTCCCCAAGAGAAACGCATAAATGTATCTTCATTTCTTCATGAATGTGACCAGGGTAAATCTGCTGTGATTACTCCACTTGTTACACAATAAGTCAGCTTTGTCTACCACAGGAACAATTTTACAATGGTTGTGTAGTGCTCTTAATGTGCCATCATGTTTAAGACTGACAACATTGAAGTGTTTATAAGGGGAACAAAACAAGGATGTTTTTGGCAAAAGTACCGTTGGCCTTCCTGCCTTTATGGCCCGAGTCCAAACAAATTCCTCGTCACCTCTGGTTTATTTCCGCTAAAAGAAAAAACTGTAACAATATTTAAGGTGGTGATCAGCCCCCTCTCTTAATTGCTTGTTTTTAAGAGAGAATGACTGTGCCTTTGCCAGAAAGCTGCTGTTGCTTTTCCCCTTTTAGAAAGATCAGTGTGATGTGGTGCACAACTTCTGTAGTGCAGTATCTGAGATGCCCAGTGCTTCACATGCACAGAGCAGAGGCTTCTGGATGTTTGAGTTCAGGTATTGCACCTGCACAATGTTTGGTAAATTGTTAACAAATAGAACTTAGGCTGTGTTTTTAACCAGGGCTGCCCCAAGTTCCTACTGCTTTAGGGCATCTAGATTTGTTTCATGGTTCCCTCCCGTTTGCTTCCAGAACCGAGTTAATACCAGAAAAGATCCATGTGTACCTCAGGTCTATTTAATCCAGGTGCATTTGCTTCAGTAACTAGGGGTGTGCGACATTGACAAAAAATATTTCTATATCTTTTGGGATTTCGTCGATAACGATAAGCGGATGATTTTTTTTTTTTTTTTTGCATCATATAAAAATGTCTTTGTCTTACTAGGTCGCGCTTCTTAATAGCATATTAATTGTTGCTTACTAAAGATTTTATTGGAGACATTTCATGCACTGAGTTACTTAAAACTGAAGCGTTCAAGAACAATACACTGAAACTGATTTTTGCAGAACGATCCCACTAAAGTTGGCCAAGTGTGTTTCTCCTGTGGTGGACAGCTGACTCCGGAAGCTTTTCGCATTCTCCGTATTCCGTGCAGTGGTTAGTACACACGCACACGATGAAACAAGCTGTCAAGTCTTTATTAATGGCAACCGATTTCCGACATGGGTTGCACATTGCTTTTATTTCCCCCAACATCTGTCTTGCAAAGCCAGAATACCTCCGTGTAAGTCAGGATGATCCACGTCTATAGCAATTAACTTAACGACGTATATTGCGAAGCCTTTGCTGTCTGGCCACTCATTTGTAACTTAACTAATGCATTTTTTTTTTTACTATCTTAACTTGGTGAGGTTGCCTACATGCAGTGTGCACTCTGAATGCGCATGCGCAGAAGTCTATCAGGTCACCCTACAGGACGCTGGGACGGTGTGGACTTTTATTTTTGTAGAGCGAGTGATGTACTCTAACACCAGCTGACACATCGTTACAACTACAAATAGGACATTATCGCACACCCCTACCAGTATCCGCGTTAGTCTCCCAGCTATGCTTGTTTTAAAATGTACCGTTGATGAATGTAATGTGTTCTCAATACTGTTCATCCTATTTAAGTTGGCACTGTAAAACATTCCAGGTAAACATCCCCTCACCAACTGATTAAAACCACCACAGCCAGTTTTTACATCCTTTACATTATAAGCATTTAAATTATATCAAATATATATCAACTGTATATTTGACTTTTTGTAAAATAAATCTAACCCCAAAAAGGGCCCACGTGACCAGTGTGTGTTTGTAATGGGTGCTGCCCTCCACCGTGCCTGAGACTCCTGCAGTGGACGTTGGACCACCTGCCCTTTGCAAAAGGGCTACAGGACCAAACATTCAGAGGTGGAATAAGATGCAGTTAAAAACACCAGAAAGACGTGGTATGAGGATCTCTGAGCTACAACTATGTTAGTATGGGATTTAGTCCCAGGTTGCTGTTAAGTTTGGTTTGGTAAATCTCAGAAAATAGTAAAAATGTCCATTATAAAATGACTCAAGATTGAGTAGATTAGATTTAGTAATTCTTTCAGCTGTTAAAAAAAAAAAAAAAACCCTCTGCATTTGACTGTCAATGCTTGGACCTCCATAACTTGTGTACCTTTCAGCCCCTCCGAGTTCTACTACCAATAGTAATATTACTACTAAATGTGAATGTTTTGTCTGTGATGATCGCTTGTGTCAGAGTAATTACCATTTGTACTATTGTAACTGATGTTGAGACTGTAAGGTTTAAAATATTCATTTTCAGCTGTGCACAAATACAAAATTACGTATGTGTGGCAGCAGGATGGTGGACGTGGGACCGACTGAGGAACTGTGATGCCCAGCAGCGACACAAGATGTAAAACCCACAATACAATCACAGTAAGCCATTCAGTTTTTAAAACTTTTTATTATTTTTAAATTTTTTTGCTCATTTTTAAATTATTTATATTATCTACAAAGTAAAAGTTTTAACTTAAAAGTTAGGTAAGGGTCAGGTGAGAAGTGGGATCTGATCCCAGATTTTGCAGACAAAATACAAGTTCCAGTTGGATTTTCTTCTCCACTTTCTCTGATTAGTGGCATTCTCTTGTTTCTAACTTGGCAAGCTGACTCAACTTGCAAATTGGGACCCCTGAAAGTGTGTGTAGGTGTTCTGTTTCTGTGTGCATGTCTGGAGAACTCTGAACAGGGGCAGTCTTGTTGGTTAAAACTCTCTAGCTCATTAAAACATGTCACCGCATCAACCTGTTAACATTCTCTTATTGCCTAGTTTGGGAGGGAGGGAAGAGAAAAGCTGATGAGAAGCATGTCTGGTGAGGATGAGGAAAGAGAGGAGAGGGAGGGCTCTCATTCTCTTCATTGCCTGGTTATGAAGGCTCTGGTTGAGAAGCATGTCAGAGTGGGACCCTTGTCTTGTTGGAACCCTCCATCTACAGCTGCTGCTGGGAGGTGGTAGTGGTGGGAAGAGAGAAGTGGGGGGGGGGGACAGAAAGTTAATGGATTTAGAGACAGTCCGCAGTTACAGAATAAAGAATTTGGTATGAGCAGAATTTGGACACCTAAATGAGAACATGCCAGTATAAACAGGCTAATCTTTCAGATCTACATTCTTTACAGGGAAAACACTGCATCTATATTCTTAACTCCACCCCACAGCAGTGTGCTACTTAATAAGATAAACATACCTACCTTGTGCAAGGTAGGAGAAATGTGTAGTGGAGGAAACGGGGATCGGGTTAAGGGCAGTCTGGGCCATGGTTGGCTGAGGACCCCCTGGAGGACCCTGAGTAGCCATCAGCATCATTGGGGGGTGGGTGGGTGCTGGATGGTGAGACTGCATTATACCAGACTGCATATGGGCCTAGATGCGAGACAGAGTGTGTAAAAGTGAGAGCCCGAGTGTGACAGAACACACTCAAGTTAAACAGCATAGTGCTGACAGGAGCAACAGGAAGCAACCTGAGAACTACACTTTGATTTTGGAGGGAGCAAGTGAAAATTGCAAAAACAGTTGTACAATGTGACTAACCAGAATAATCCAGGTTTTTAGTATATTTTTTATTGCTACATGGCAAACAAGTTACCAGTAGGTGCAGTAGATTCTCAGAAAGCAAACAAGACCCAGCATTCATGATATGCACGCTCTTAAGGCTGTGCAATTGGGCAATTAGTTGAAAGGGGTGTGTTCAAAAAAATAGCAGTGTCTGCCTTTGACTGTACAAACACAAAACTATTTTGTACAAACGTTTTTGTTTCTAGGATTTAGCAATCCTGTGAATCACTAAACTAATATTTAGTTGTATGACCACAGTTTTTTATAACTGCTTCACATCTGTGTGGCATGGAGTCAACCAACTTGTGGCACCTTTCAGCTGTTATTACACTCCATGATTCTTTAACAACATTCCACAATTCATTTACATTTCTTGGTTTTGCTTCAGAAACAGCATTTTTGATATCACCCCACAAGTTCTCGATTGGATTAAGGTCCGGGGATTGGGCTGGCCACTCCATAACATTAATTTTGTTGGTTTGGAACCAAGACTTTGCTCGTTTACTAGTGTGTTTGGGGTCATTGTCTTGTTGAAACAACCATTTCAAGGGCATGTCCTCTTCAGCATAAGGCAACATGACCTCTTCAAGTATTTTGACATATGCAAACTGATCCATGATCCCTGGTATGCGATAAATAGGCCCAACACCATAGTAGGAGAAACATGCCCATATCATGATGCTTGCACCACCATGCTTCACTGTCTTCACTGTGTACTGTGGCTTGAATTCAGAGTTTGGGGGTCGTCTCACAAACTGTCTGTGGCCCTTGGACCCAAAAAGAACAATTTTACTCTCATCAGTCCACAAAATGTTTCTCCATTTCTCTTTAGGCCAGTTGATGTGTTCTTTGGCAAATTGTAACCTCTTCTGCACGTGCCTTTTTTTTTAACAGAGGGACTTTGCGGGGGATTCTTGAAAATAGATTAGCTTCACACAGACGTCTTCTAACTGTCACAGTACTTACAGGTAACTCCAGACTGTCTTTGATCATCCTGGAGCTGATCATTGGCTGGGCCTTTGCCATTCTGGTTATTCTTCGATCCATTTTGATGGTTGTCTTCCGTTTTCTTCCACGTCTCTCTGGTTTTGCTCTCCATTTTCAGGCATTGGAGATCATTTTAGCTGAACAGCCTATAATTTTTTGCACCTCTTTATAGGTTTTCCCCTCTCCAATCAACTTTTTAATCAAAGTACGCTGTTCTTCTGAACAATGTCTTGAACGACGCATTTTCCTCAGGCTTTCAAATGCATGTTTAACAAGTGCTGGCTTCATCCTTAAATAGGGGCCACCTGATTCACACCTGTTATTTCACAAAATTGATGACCTCACTGATTGAATGCCACACTGCTATTTTTTTGAACACACCCCTTTCAACTAATTGCCCAATTGCACAGCCTTAAGAGCGTGCATATCATGAATGCTGGGTCTTGTTTGCTTTCTGAGAATCTACTGCAGCTACTGGAACTTGTTTGCCATGTAGCAATAAAAAATATACTAAAAACCTGGATTATTCTGGTTAGTCACATTGTACTGCTATTATTTTGAACAATACTGTATTAAAAAGAACTTATAAGCGAACGGGTGCTTTAGTCGGGCTTCGCCAGGGAGGAAGATGGACTCCACTCCCGTCTATCCACCAAGCAAATCTCCGCTCCCTAGCCAACAAAATGTATGAAATCCTTCACATCAACAGGACTAACCCTGACATTGCACGCTCCACTGCCTTATGGTTGAGACCTGGCTCAGCGACTCCATAGCGGACAGCACAATGCAACAAATAGCAGGCTTAAAGGTGTACAGAGCGGATCATGTAACGGAGCTGTCCAGGAAAACAAGAGGAGGTGGAATATGTCTCTATGTAAATGAAGGTTGGTGCACAGATGTCACAGTACTACAGAGGACATGTAACACAGACTTAGAGACTCTTTATCAACTGCAAACCCTTCTACTCTCCCCGAGAATTTTCAAGCTTCATCCTGATTGGTGTCTATTTAAAACTGAACGCCCACACCAGCGCACTACAGCTCCTGGTCGATCTGATAACCGGTGTAGAACTGGAACATCCTGATTCCCCACGCATTGTTCTAGGGGACTTTAACAGAGCAAATCTCACCCAAGAACTGTCTAAATACATGCAGCACGTCACCTGTCCCACCAGGGACAAAAATCACACTGGACCACTGCTACACAGCAATAAAACACGCCTATCGCTCTGTCCCCCGCACAGCCCTCGGATGCTCTGATCACTGTATTGTTAGGTATTTTTTAGTCAGATAGAAATTGGTTAGATACTTGTTGTATTAGAAATGTTTAGTGGAGACAGGATGTCTAGTTGAAATGCTTAGTCATTCTCATGAGTTTTGCAGGGTGCATATGGCCAAGGATAACTAGGTAGAAAAGTTTGATTGTCAGCAGGCAGGATGATTGTTATTATTATGATATGTTAGACTGTAATTGTAATCATAATATTTTCTTATGTGTAATGTCATGACATGTCCCTGAATGTCCTGTATGTTCTTAGATACACACCACTTAATCAACACTCACACACATTGATTTGCTCCATGTTTTGACTACTGCTACGGTCAGCTGTAAAGCTGACATATCAGGTGACGCCACGGTTTGACGTCCCTGTGTAGAATGGGGCTAGCCCAACCGAAGTGATAAATGTATAGGCCTATTGTGGTTCAGGGTCTTTCATTCTTCATCTGCCTGCGCGCAGTATTGGAGGTGGAAGATACCTGGACATGTAATGTTAATTTTACCTGTGATTCTTTGAATAAACCAGCACGTTTTTTTTTTATATATCCAAGTGGTCCGCTTCGTCTCTGAGTTCCACTGGTTAAAAGAACCGAAAAAAAGCTTTCAGTATGGTCCACCTTATTCCAACATACAGGCAGAAACTTAAAGTTGCAAAGCCTGTGGTGAAAACAGTGAAGAATGCACAGACTGGAGTGCATTTGAGGCTGCAGCTACAGACCTGGACGAACTCACTGACATCTTACATCAGCTTTTGTGAGGATGTGTGTGTGCCCAACAAGTCCTTCTGCACATACTACAACAACAACAACAACAACAACAACAACAACAACAACAACAAGCCCTGGTTTACAGAGCAGCCTCAAAAGCATCACTGGCTATAAGAAACCATCCCGCCTGGTGAGGGGAGCCATCAACTAGCAGATGACCTGATTGTGTTCTACTGCAGGTTTGACAGTCAACACTCCCCACCTCAGTCCCAGCAGCTGCTCCCCCGACAATCACCACCCTCCCCTCAAGCCCCCCACCTCTAACGATCTGTGAAAAGGATGTGCGTGGCCTCTTTAAAAGACAATATCAGAAAGGCACCAGGCCCAGATGGTGTGACCCCTTCCTGCCTGAAAGTGTGCACTGATCAGCTGGCCCCCCATCATCAGACTCATCTGCAACAGGTCACTGGAGCTATGTGAAGTCCCCTCCTGCTTCAAACACTCAAAAGGTGCAAACCCCCATCAGTGGACTGAACAACTACAGACTTGACATCTGTAGTTATGAAGTCCCTTGAAAGACTGGTGTTCGCCCACCTGAAGGACATCGTCAACCCCCTGCAGTTTGCTTACCGGGCAAACAGGTCAGTGGACAATGTGGTCAACATAGCAACACCTTGACTCCCCAGGGACCTATGCACAGGCCCTCTTTGTGGACTTCAGCTCAGCATTCAACACCATCATCCCGGACATGTTCCACTCCAAACTGACCCAGCTCACTGTGCCTGCCCCCACCTGTCAGTGGATTACTAGCTTTCTGACAGACAGGAAGCAGCAGGTGAGGCTGGGGAAAACCACATCTGGCACCCGGACAATAAGCACAGGTGCCCCCCAGGGATGTGTGCTCTCCCCTCTGCTGTTTTCACTCTACACCAATGACTGCATCTCGAAGGACCCCTCTGTCAAGCTCCTAAACATTGCAGATGACACAACAGTCACTGGTCTCATCCGAGACGATGACGAGTCAGCCTACAGACGGGAGGTTGAGCAACTGGTCCTGTGGTGTAGCCACAACAACCTGGAGTTGAACACACTCAAAACAGTGGAGATGACAGTGGACTTCAGGAAGATCTGTTTGAACTCCTCCCCTCTGGATGGCGTTACAGGTCACTGTGCACAAAGACGACCAGGCACAAGGACAGTTTCTTCCCCCGGGTCGTCACTCTGATTAACACTTAACCCACGACAGTATAACTAGACAATAACCCTCAGTGCAATACCGGTAAATATACATTGTACAAATACTCCATACAGTACTCCATTTTTATTCTATTTTTATCTCATTTCCTAATGAACCCTCCTTTGTTTGTTTGCATTGTTTGCTGCTTGTTTATTTTGTTATACTACACATCCTTATGTTGGTATATTGCTTACTTGCCCCTTGCATGGGGATATGTACATGCACAGTGAGAGCCACTGTACCAGAGTCAAATTCCTCAGTTCAACACAACTGGCCAATAAAGCTGATTCTGATTCTTATTTAATCAAACTCACTCATTCGTTTCAGCACTTGCAATAGATCTGTTTGCAGCAGCCTCTGACAGTTATTTGTCTTGTCTGTTGTCTCTGCATTTCAGCCATTCCCCGAGTGTGTTTTGTGGTAGAAGGGTTTGTTTCAATGCAGCATTGCATGTGGTGCAGAACAGCTTACTTTGTGCAGAAGTTCAAGGAATTGTGTAGCCTAATTATTTTTGGTATTTATTTGCAAATTATGGTGGAAAATAAGTATTTGGCCACCTACAAACAAGCATGATTTCTGGCTCTCACAGACCTGTAACTTCTTCTTTAAGAGACTCTGTCCTCCACTCGTTACCTGTATTAATGGCACCTGTTTGAACTTGTTATCAGTATAAAAGACACCTGTCCACAACCTCAAACAGTCTCACTCCAAACTCCACTATGGCCAAGACCAAAGAGCTGTCGAAGGACACCAGAAACAAAATTGTAGACCAGCACCAGGCTGGGAAGACTGAATCTGCAATAGGCAAGCAGCTTGGTGGGAGCAATTATTAGAAAATGGAAGACATACAAGACCACTGATGATCTCCCTCGATCTGGGGCTCCACACAAGATCTCACCCCGTGGGGTCAAAATGATCACAAGAGCGGTGAGCAAAAATCCCAGAACCACATGGGGGGACCTAGTGAATGACCTGCAGAGAGCTGGGACCAAAGTAACAAAGGCTACCATCAGTAACACACTACGCCGCCAGGGACTCAAATCCTGCAGTGCCAGACGTGTCACCCTGCTTAAGCCAGTACATGTCTGGGCCCGTCTGAAGTTTGCTAGAGAGCATTTGGATGATCCAGAAGAGGATTGGGAGAATGTCATATGGTCAGATGAAACCAAAGTAGAGCTTTTTGGTAAAAACTCAACTCGTCGTGTTTGGAGGACAAAGAATGCTGAGTTGCATCCAAAGAACACCATACCTACTGTGAAGCATGGGGGTGGAAACATCATGCTTTGGGGCTGTTTTTCTGCAAAGGGACCAGGACAACTGATCCGTGTAAAGGAAAGAATGAATGGGGCCATGTATAGAAAACCTTTGGAGGAAGTTGAAAGTCCGTGTTGCCCAGCGACAGGCCCAAAACATCACTGCTCTAGAGGAGATCTGCATGGAGGAATGGGCCAAAATACCAGCAACAGTGTGTGAAAACCTTGTGAAGACTTACAGAAAACATTTGACCTCTGTCATTTCCAACAAAGGGTATATAACAAAGTATTGAGATGAACTTTTGGTATTGACCAAATACTTATTTTCCACCATAATTTGCAAATAAATTCTTTAAAAATCAGACAGTGATTTTCTGGATTTGTTTTTCCTCATTCTGTCTCTCATAGTTGAAGTATACCTATGATGTAAATTACAGGCCTCTCTCATCTTTTTAAGTGGGAGAACTTGGACAATTGGTGGCTGACTAAATACTTTTTTGCCCCACTATATGAGTCACACTGCATCTTCACAGCCTGCCACAAAGAAACAAACTGACTTATGACAACCTTTTGCATTCCTCTTACAACTGAAACCATTTATATCCACAGCTAGATCAAGTGAGAGCAACTGCAGGTTCTAACCTACCTGCTGCACATGTGCCATGTGGTTGGGGTTGTATCCATGTTGCACCTGCTGTGGGTGGATATAGACAGTCTGCTGGGCAGAAGGGAATGATGCCTGGGGAGATTGAGGGTTGGGACCCGGGGTCATGGAGGGGGGCGTGTGGGCCAAGGCTGAGTACATCTGCTGCTGTGGGGGCTGGTTGGCCAGGTGGAGGGCCTGAGCTGCTGCCACCGCTACATAAGGCAAGTAAAAACACAGTACATGCTGCATTTGAAAATATTTCTGTGCAAATTCTCATTCATCCAGGTCATAGTAAGCTGAAAAAAATGTAGAAAAAAAATCATCTGGACTTGGTTTTTAGGTAGAACTAGGTCAGCAGGACTATAACGACTCAGTTGTTAGGGGACATTGATGGCCACCAAAGGACTGGAACCCGCACAATATCAGTCATTAGGGGACACTGTTGGCTGTCGAAGAACTGAAACACCACCCAGGGGGTTAAATACCTCCTGCTCACCACCAGTCGGACAGAACTTATGAAGCCTCTTGGATGTGAGGTGAAACATCTTCTACCTAAAACCAAGTCCAGATGATTTTTTTCAACTTTTTTTTTTCTTCAGCATTTGAAAATATTCCATGGCACAGTGACATGTACTGGGATTGAAAACAAGCCTTAAAGAAAATCGGATTCCAACCTTTAATGTATTCACCTGCTGCTGCCTGTGGGAGCTGTGGGTGCTGCACTGGGCTGGCAGCTGGGTGGCTAGGAGGACCTCCATGCTGTGGGGGACCACCCTGCTGGGCTTGGCCTGTAGGTGTGGCAGAGGGTTGGGGGTGCTGTGGGTGAGGGTGCAAGGTGGCACTAGGGTGTGGGTACTGCTGAGGCATTGGCCCTGGAGACACTGAGAGACATGAATCAGTTTTATAAAGAATGAAAAGTATTAAACCCATACACCTAACTTTGCCTGTACAGTGTAGCCTGTTGCATGCACACAAACTGGGCAGTGGGCTAACGTACCATACATAGTGTGTGTCTGCTCTGGGTACTGTGAGGTTGAGGATGAGACGAGGCTGGGTTGGCCATGTGTGGGAGGCGCCATCATCCTGGCACTGCCCTGCATTACTGGACTGAACACATGCTGTGCCTGGAGGACAGACAGAAAGCTGCAAATTATTCAATAATGAAAATGATTGTTTACTTGCAGCCGTATTAAAAACAGTCACATGCTAAAAGCAGGCATCGAACACTTGATCTGATCAGATTTACTAATTTGAATTAATATTAGTATTTTATTAAGGCAAAGTTCTTTGTGGCTGCTTGTGTTTAAAAAAAAAGTAACATTTAAGCAGGTCAGCATCTCTTCCATTTCTCAAAGTAAGATGCAGGAAAGTAACCGCAAGAATCTGCCAGACACATGGCTGACTATTAAAACATGGTACCAGAGTAACTGTAATAGTTTCAGATGGCTCCTAGTAGAGGAGCCTCCAGGGATGAGCACTGCTGAAGAAGTTACTAAAGGCTCTATTGTTCTGACAGTGGTAGTGGCCAAGAAAATCATACCTGGGACTGGTAGTGTGGCATCTGTTGAACCAGTGGCTGACTGGTGAACTGCTGCGGGCTGCAGGTGAAGTACTGGGCAGAGTACACAGGGCTCTGTGCTACAATAGGCGGTCCTGCTGCCGTCGCTGGGTGCATCATAGTGGGTGTGCCTGGCGGATGGTGTTGGTCTGATCTCTGTTGGGGCATGCTGGGTACTGGCAAGTCATGTTAAGAGATTACATGGGGAAGAAGCTTTGTTTAACAGCTTATAAATTTGAACTAAACGAAATCATGAGGTACTTTCAGACCAAACGGTTCTAGCAACTTAGCTATAGGGAGTACCCCACTGGGGAGCTCCCCCAGGAACTATGCACCTTCACAGGATTTTTTCTGTTTGCATTCACACTGACAGTAGGAACACTGAAGTGACATAACACTAAGCTGACGACTGTTAGCAATTAGCCAACAAGCTCACAAGACTTGACAAATAGCGATGTTACATTACCGGCCAGTATTTTCTTTAAATGTTGCTAATGGTAATTATATAAGGAGCAAGGTGAGCAAGGTGGACTGCACTGTAGGTTGGCGGTGTGTAGTAACATGTACTATTACTGTATTGCTCCTTCTACATGTGTGGACACCATACTGCCACTAACATTGGGTTCCTGCCATACGTCGAGTATGGCTATTTCTTTTTTTTTCTTTTAACATGTGTAGGTTTTGACTGTGCATGTTCCATTGCACACCTACACAGCAAAACTATTTTGCTATGGAATTGTAACATTTTTTTTCAATTAGTGAACAATTGACATTTCCTGTCAGGCTCAAGGAGTTGTAGACATAATTCTGTGGCAGTAAGAACTTTTCAGACTTTTTCCATAGCATTCATTGATCTGTAATTCGTGACTGCCCTTCCCTTCCCGTTCCTAGCCTAGCAAAATTACAGCTACAGAAACTTATAAAGCAACTTTCTTAATGTAAGGAACAGTGTTTCCTGATTTTTAAAGAGAAAATCAGCTGTAATGAATACGCAAAGATCTTAATTATGAATATGTAAAGGTTCTCAGATATAATACAGTATTTCTAATTTATTTAGGAAGACAAAGACAGAGAAACAGAGAGAGTGCAAGACAGAGACAAGAGGGAAATGAGAGAAAACAGAGGTTATTCTCACCTTTACCTGGTCTGTAGGGTTTAGACTGGCTGACCGTCATATGTGGCATTGGAACCTGGTACATAGCTGGAGACTGAAAAGACCAGGGAATGAGGATAGTAGATGAAAAAACACGTTTATACTCAATGTTCTCAGGCATCTCAGCATCATTTCACCAAGAATGAAAACTAGCCTTTAACTAAAAGCAGGTCAATTTTTGCTTATTGGTGTGGGAGTATTTTTAATACCCACATGCAGGGCTGGACTCCAACTATTCACATTTAAAATGACATTTTACTAACAGACCCCTGCCCCAGTACACACACACACACACAAATACCATAAACTTGTGCGTGTGAGATGGGAATTATCTCTTACTTGGGGCCACATGCATTTTCTATGGCTTTCTATCATTGGGCAGAAATAGGTGTTTTCCAACTGACTATAACCCAAACACTGCTTTTCTTGTTTTTTATTTAACTCCTTCACAATATACACCATGCATTTCTACTGCAAACAGTATTGCGGGGCTTAAACTCTTATTAGCTCACAGCCATTTTGGTAAACAGATGAAGCCAATATAAATTAAAATGAATCCATCTGCCATGACAGTTTAAAATGAATTGCAATAAGAAGTTGGCAAACCAACATCTGTGGCATTAATTCAACAAGCAAGCAAAACATCTCACTGATTGGGCTTAAAGGACTTAAAATAGAAATCTTAGAAAAATTCACAAACCTTCCATATTATGCTTTTCTAATGGAGCAAGAGAGAGAGGAGGAGGGGGAGACAAGAAAAAAAAAAACACTCTTTAGTTGTTCACCAAGGTATTCTATTGTTTAAACGTGTCTGATGTTGGATCACCAAGTTTTTCTTAAAGCAACACAGGAAAATACAGATTTATAGCTACAAATGTAAAAGCAAAAATGCTTTGAGAACTAAATATATTTTTAGATCATATTGTATAGAAATTCCATATATGCTCTCTTTTCCTTTAAAGTGACTAAGCTTGTTATCCCAAATTATTACCTAAAACATTTTTCATTTAAATAATTCACCAAACTATCAGTCAAATAACAGGATGATGACGAAGAAAATAGTGATGAATATGTTCCTCATATTAAGGTGTTAAAGGAAAACAAATTTACATAAAAATATATGAGATGTGTCCTAAGAAATAATAAATATGGAGAAAATCATTATGGCATGTATTAGAGATTAATCAAAGGCCAAAAAGGAATGAAAAATAACAAATGGGGACAAATATAAGCATACATGTTGCGAGATCTCATGGTGATGGATGTTAAACTGTTTTAATTTTTTAAAACTCATCTCATATAATGCTTGGGGTGATCAGCACAGAAACAAATACAACTCTCACCCTACTGGATATTTGAGCATGCAGGTGTGTGTCTCACCTGCACTCCAGGGCTGACTGGTGTGAGGGGATACATCTGGGGGAAGCAAACTGTCTGGCCATAGAGAGTCGGCTGCTGGACCACGATGGAGGGGCTAGGCTGGCCCTGAGGCCGGGGGGGTGTTGGGGTGTTGGCTGGTTTGGGCTGATGAAGTACATAAAATGAGAGTGAGCGAGAGTGAGAGAGCATTAGAAAATCTGTTTACAAAAAAAATCTCAGTCTGAGCTTTATGACAGCAGCAGGACATACTGACCTGTGTAGTGAACCGAGGTTTGAACTCATTGGCATTTGGGTTCAGGGTTGATTTTCTCACTTGACTGAGGAAAACAAACAGTGAAGAAGTTAAGATTTGAAGGGTCAGTTTTCCATGATGATATGTTTCTTATCACTTGTTGATAAGAAACATACCACTACACTTTTAAAATCCTTTAAAAACATTTGCAGTCTCTCCAGCATACTATTACTTCCACTCACTCTTGTACTGCCTCTTTTTTCTCCTCCTTCTCTTCTTGCTTGGGTCCACTGAATGTGGATGTGGCTGTCGTCTGAACCCCCTGTGATGTCACATCCAGTGCCTCCCTCTTGTAGTCTGAGGCTGAAGGAGATGGGGACAGTGCAGCTGGGCTGCCAGGCTTACTGGTGTTTGTGGTGGTGGATGGAGCAGGGGCAACAGCAGAAATCATTACAACACCCTCTTCAGTGCCCTCCCGCCCCACTGTGGAGGCTTTGTCCAGGGGAAGGTCTCTAGGCTTGTCTGCTGAATCTCTGGGAGGCTTGGTCAACATCTGGTCAGAAGGGTCTGGGTTTGAAGTAGACTGCAACTGGAAGAAGGAAGATGAAAAGAAGATTAGAAGAGGCAAAAACAAGCTCTGATACAGGCTCAAACATGAGGTTAGCTACAGCAGAATTTCAGCATTTTTATACCATCTGAATGAATAAATACTTACCCTAAAATCTTCACTAAATTTCTTTAAAGTATCTATTTGTTTCCTGTGGTCTGGTGCCATAGAAGGGGAGTAGAAAGAGACAGACAAAGTTGAAGGTTTCAGTCATTCACAAATGGATTCAGATTATGTAAATATTTCTGGGACAGCACAAAAAACTAAATTATATTATAACAGCTAAATAAATAAAACCAAGTGAGAAGCAAGTGTCTCAGTGACTGGTCTCTCAAAATCGTCACAGAACTCTACAGCTGTGTTTTTTTGAAGTGTGATGATACACTATATTGGATTCATGAGAATGAGACAATTTTTAAGAAATCTTCATTGGCCAAATATATGACTGGAAAAAGTGTTTTATTCAATTGAAAGTCCAAATGCAAAACAATGGAGGTGCATTTTGAAATGTTTTAACTAATCATCTTGTAATGATGTCACTTCAGTTCTACTTTGAGTATGAATTATATGCAGTAGAAGACAATATGCAAGCACTGTAAAAGGTTTTGTAACAAACTCAACTGACTGGCTCTCCTGTATGATTTCATATGAATCTCTTCAAACCTTATAACTGTAGACTGAGTTTGAGAGGGGTGAAAACACACAGCCGTCTCCATTCATTTTATGGAGGACTGCGTTCACCACAGCCAGCACCAGCACCGAAGGGGGCTCTGGCAAAATGGCACAACCCCATGCAGCGAAAAAGTTGGATCCAGTTCAACTTTCACATAGTGCTGGTATGTTCGCGAAAAATCCGACTAATGAATGGCGCGTGGGTAGGAACGAAGGGATCCGAGTCTTCCCTGAGAGCCGTTCTTTTTAAAGTTGTAAATAAATTTCTCTGAGTGCCCTACATCCAAAAAGTGATTTCTCTCACATGCATGCAGTAGTGGTTAACCAAGAGTGACTGAAGAGAGGAGCACTAGCAAGAACAAAGCAGTGAATCAGGGAACTACAATGTTACTTTCTGACTTATTTGTTCTAAAGTACAAATAAACAGGGCTACACCTCCACACAACCATACTGGAAGGATTTTAGGAGAGTGCAGCCAAAGCTACACTTCATCCTCTTAATCTCCTGTGACCTGGTGCTCTGCGAGTGTGTGCCAGAACTATTTCACTGCACTGAACAATGACATCATCCAGCAAAGGCCAGAGTTTGCGCACCAAAACACCACCATGCAATTTTGTTAGTACTGGATGCTAAACGGTGTTTTCTATCTAACAGTGCAGACATACTGTTGGTACAATCTGCTGCTCTGGTTCTATTATGTACTGATATCATAAGACAGCTTTTGCCTCAAGAAATATCATCACGTTTTAATATCATGAGATCTCACCACACCCTTATTATCAACTATACCTTTACAGACTGGTCGAGTGATAGTGGGTGAGCTGTCCAAGGGCTTGATGTTCTCCTTGTTTGCTGTGGGAGACGTCTGTCTTGTCTCCTGAACACGACACTCTTTTGCTATAAAGAAAGGAAATATTCTCACTTTACTCCCAGCATCAATGCAGCGCTCGAATTTGAGAATAGTGTTTCTGGTTGTGACAGAACATCAAAGCCAAGAACAGAGAAATCAAGAATTCCACACAGCTCAATGAAAGTGTAGGTCAACTTCAAGTTTACCGTCTCCTGAAGGAGAGGTGACCATGTTGGGGGCAGGGCTAGCAGCAGTAGGAGAGGATGCTGACGTTGGTGTCACAGCAGTTTCCACAGGAGCTGTTCCTGTCTGTGGTGATGGGAGGGAGGACGAGCCAGGGGAAGCTCCACCCATATTATTCTGTCGGGGGGAGCGAGGTCTGTGAGCTGATGTGAAAAAGAAAAAATGATATTTTGGTAATCATAAAATGTAACTTTTTTTAAAAGTCTCCCAAACCAAATTTACTCACTTTGATTTAGTGGCCATCATCAGTGGACAAGTACACAAAAGGGAAAGTGTTTGCACTGATCATATAATAAGGTGTTTTTCCATGATACTGCAACATGGGAAATGTTGATAAAATCCTTTAAATGCTCATTCACAACAATGCAAGGTGCTTCAAAACCTAACATCCGCTGACACTAGCCCATAATGTTCTATCTCCTGTGTAGATACATTCCACTGAGCAATATCTTAGTGTTGTAAGTGTTCATTCCGTCTATTCTGTTTTATGTAAGGAAAGTTCTTTATAAAGAAAAAAAGTATTCTACCTCCACTAACTACAGAGGACCATGTCCCTCCAGAGGAACTGTTCCTGGTTGGTGGAGTCAACGGGACATCTCCAGGGGCAGTGTGGGAAATTAAGTCTACTCCTGGAGGGACGCCAGAGGTCCGGCAGGGTGGCACTCTGTGAGCACGAGGTGTCCTCTGGGATTTCGGAGACATTCTGGGTGGACCTGTAGATAAAAAACAGACAGATGGAGACAGACAGAACTCTGAACAAACAGTGGAGGTGTGGTAAACACACTGAACAGCCTGATTTCCTGCCATCCTGCTGTTAATGTGTCTGAAGCTTATCTGTTTATCTCAAAAGCATTTAAAATTCAAACATCGCAATCTAAAGTTTAAATATCACTTCATACAACAATGTTATTTGGTGACAAACAAGTTAGTGGAGAAATCGCAGATCCTGTAAAGTGACCAAACACACCACACTTTCCAAACCAAAACCAGGAGGTGGTAAAAACATGTTTTTAAATAATTCACTGCTCAGCAGAGTTTGTGCAGTTATGTGAACAGTGCCCGTCTCTCAGGAGCTAGCCCAATGCATAACTGGTATTTGTCTTAACACTGATTATTGGGTCATTTCATGAATAAATAGATTGCTTAAAGTTTGAAGTATGCTTGAAAATGAAGACAATACAACCCTCTGCTCCTAATTTTAGGATAATGGAAAACAGCATTGCTGGTGTTTTAAAATAACAAATTAAACTTAATTCAGGAGTAACTTAGTACCCTTGTTTGTTTACCTCAAGTGGTGGATGTTCTCACCTTCCTGCAATAGTGCAGTCATTACACCTCTAGCCACCAGCAATTTAACAATGCTTTTGGTCTGATGAAAGTAAAGAGCCACATAGTGTTAAAAAATTTAAAAAAAATAAAAAAAGAATTCCTATAGAGTCCTCCCAGAATGGATGCCAGGACCAACTGATGTTTTAAATAGTGTATCCACATTCATTCCTTTTAACTACTCTGAGAATGTTTTCAGAAACTGATGCCTAGAAAGAAAGTACAGAACACACAGTAGTGCACCCACATGCCAAGGTGAAACTGCCTGATGCACTGACAAAGGATCAGTTTTGATATTACTCTCCTCAAAATTTCCATTTGTGTGGAAACTGCAAATCTGACCCCAAATCAGTCCAAAGAAGCACTTTCACCTATTTGTGTTGTTCCACACTAGACCTGGGCAAATTTATTTTTGAAAGTAGTTTCCTCATGAATTCTTACAACACTTCAAAACAGCTTTCAATGTGATTAGGAATGCCAGTTCCATACTGAGATTAATCCATCCACCTTCAACTCATACTTTTGCCCAGGTCTACTCCACTGATGTGGGTACCTTCTGAAGACATGCGTTTGGGCAGAGTAGAGGCCGGCGATGTGGGCCCATGGTGGGAAAACGAGGATGAGGAGGAGGGATAGGAGGGGTGGGATGAATGAGAGGGAGGCCTGGAAGGACGAGAAGGGGGTCTGGAGGGTGGTCTGGTGGGCGTGGATGCCCGAGGAGGCAGGGAGGAGGGGCCAGACTGGTAACGAGAGGGGGGGCGAGAGGAAGGAGACTGACAGGGTGAGGGCCAATGGGATGTACCTAAAACAGGGAGGGACAGATGATCAACAGCAGATGACAACCAGTTAAAATGGTGAAAATAAAAGGTATAGCAGGAATAGAAATGGGGGAGATTAATAAACATAAGGAAGGGCAAGGCAGGAATTAAGTGATTTAACTGTCATAAGTAAAACATGATAAATACACAAGGAACTAACAGCAACAATACATATGAACATCAAAGACTCTAAACCTAAATTATTGTGGGGCTCTGAAGATTTATGACAACATGGCCTGACACCCCCCTCTTTGGGGCCAAATAATGGGTAAACCTCATTTAACTCGTATACTGAGCTTCCATATGAAGCACATTTAATTGTGTATTATTGACTGTTAATGCTAGCACTAGCTAGTGACTGCTGTGAATAGCATGAGCAAGCTAACATGAGGGCATAGTAGAAGCCTGACTGGTTTGTTGAAATGAATACTAAAACAGGTTTCTGATGCAGTATAAAAAGAAGCAGACCTTTGGCTAATTATCTGGTGAACTATTTGAAATGTTTGGCAAGTTATTTTACATGTTTGGTGAAATGTTTGCTAGTGCTAGTGACTGTTTGGGCCCAACTCCATGAAACACCAGTTAGTGAGAGGGTGCCAACCTGATGACCCTGTAGACTTGCCTTTACTCCTGCACCCACACAGAACTTGTGTTGGTGATAATCTAGTCACAGACTCGCTGGAATTGTTAAAAGTCTTCTTTTGTTAGTCAATCTTGGTAGAACAATGGCAGTGGTTGGACACTAGAGCAAACCCAGCTCTCAGAGGTGACTGCCAATACAAGCCAGCTGGGCCAGCCACTGCTTAACCTGAGCAAATACAATGCAGATGCTGCATGATAAACCACTTATCTGCTCTTTGCTTGGGTGGGTGAGGATGGGGTTCAGGGATGCTTTGTGTTAAGGGTAGGTTAGGTCTGGAAAATGGTGTTGCTTATTGTGCAGCTCTGAAGATTTATGATGACTGCTACTATTGTAGTAGTTTTCCATTCACAGTGGGTCACTCACTATACTAACCAGCTCACTGACTAACCTGTGTGAATTCTGTATATACAGCGTACCAAGAAACACCATAGGTTTTCACATGATGCATTAAACCGTACCTCCGTTAACCACCCTTTGGTCAGCCCCGGAGCTGGGACTGTAGTCATGAGGTCCTGGTCGGGGAGTTGAGGGTCCAACTGAGCCCTGAGCCAGACGAGGTGAGTTTTGACGTCCGGGCCCCCAAGACATCACCTCCCTGTTCCTCTGACTTGGAGGAATGTATTTATTCTCTCTACACACATGTAAATAAACAACACAGGCAGATGGTTCAGTAAAATATATACAAAACAACTGTCAACATACAAAGTAGAAGAATTAATTCTACACTATTAAATTCTACTAAGAACTTAGCATAAATTTGCATGCCTTTTTAATTACAAATGAAGCATTTGTTCTGGAACAGCTACTGTCAACTTAGTGAATTTGCTGAAACTACTTTGTCTCCCTTTAAAGCTAAAAATTCTTCTCAAGCCTGTGACTGAGCCTTTCTACTGCAGACTCAAGCAATACGTACACAAAGCATCAGGGACAGGTTCTGATAGCTGGCTCCTTAAAATACCAAATGTGGTTTAGCTTTAGGGCCAGATAATCTTTTATCAGACCTTTCTTTAACATCCTCTGTTTAGTCTGTCAGGAATCTCTATCTGACATTCAAACATTGGACAAAAAAAAGACAATATGTGATAAGTCAGTGACACTACTGTAAACAAATATGGCAGGACAGCTTAAACATTCTGAAGTCAGTGGTCAATGAAAATGCCAAAATATTTGCAGGAGTGTGCACAAAACAAAAGGGGGATGACAAGACCTTTGTTTAAATATTTATTTGCCATCTAACGGGTTAGAGGAAGAACGTCTGGCACTGAAAAAGATTCAGTGACCCATAACAGTGTGTTCGCCTTCAGGTAACATCAAGTACATGGAGCATGCACAACAGTAATTTTGTTAATTGCTATTCACTGAATGAACCACTGCTAGTTTTACTGTCATTGTTTACTTCAGTGTCTATGGCTTCTGGACCTGCAACACCAGCCCCCAATGAGGAGCAAAATGAGTGAGGATAGGATCAATGAATGTTGTACAGCAATGATAAAATATATATAGTGAAAGGTCAGCACAGCAGAATGTCTGGGACTGAGGACCAGTGGCTGATTACTGTAGTTACTATTAGTGTTGGTGTCGTGCTTGTCTGGTGATTGGTCCCTAAATCAAAAATAAAAATTACCAAGTGTGTAATAAAAACACTCAATTATTAAATGTTGACATTTTTTGTTACACAGAAAAGTGTACATTTGTTTGGTTCTGCACTGAGTGAAATAAACAGTACACTTTTTAAACTAAAACTACAAGTAGATTCTAACACTGTATGTACTTGGCAGGATTTAAATCTCCTACAAAAACAATTCTGCATGAAATGTAAGACATGCTAATATAAAGAAAATGAAAATGAGTCCATGGCATGATTTTCTGTGTTTTCTGACTTATCTACAAAGTTACAACAATGAGTTATCACCTTAAACGTGACTAAAAGCTAAAAAAAAAACAAGGTGTACTTATGTTGTTGTATTTCTATGCAGAAGCAACTCGGTTTATACAAGTCTTGTGAACTCTCGCTGATGAGATTTTTTTCCCCAACTATGTAAAGTGTTACACAATAGTTTACAGATTTCCTTGAATGGAATGCCTGGCACTAGAAATCAGATATGTAAAGTGTGCACACAAATGTATATAACATGTCCCTTTCCAGTTCTTCCTTAATGAAGCCATAGAAGAATTCAGCAATACCAGATGATCAAATTTGGAGTCACTACATGCACATGTTGTGACTTGTAAACAAAAAAAAACAAAACAAATCAGAATGAATATATTAATAATTTACAAAAAAACTAAACATGAATCTGTCATCAAGTTTGCAAATATTAAGAGGAAAGCTGCTGACTCAGTTGGTTGCTAGCCCAACTCCATGGCCACTGTGTATGCACATTTAATATTTATATATGAAATAATTGTTTTTTTTTTGTGTGTGTGTCGTCTTACCTACTAAGCATGTGATTCTCCCTTTCCCCTCGTACCACAGCAGTATATTTCTCCTCCTCAGAGCGGTCATCATTCTCCAGGGCCACACGAGCCTTGTATGTCGCACTGGCCTCAATTTCCTCTGCCAGCTGGGCAGCACGTGCTTCCCTCTTGAGGAATTCTTCTGAGTTATCCCGCTCCAGAGGAACCCTGAGAAACAAGCTCCGGTCAGACAAGGACAGCAACTTTTTATTTTTGCCATGTGAGGTCTCATTTAAACAAAATTAAAAGCATGACTTTTTTTTGTCCAATGTTTGAATGTCAGTGCAAGTGTGACATGTAGATTAGTTACATACAGTCAAACATGCTAAAAAAGTGAACATATTTTAACAAAATAAACACTTTGAACAAAGTGAAGTGACTTATGAACACTGAGCTTACGTATATGTAGACAGGCTGCTGTCATATGTAGATAAAACTCCATACTTCTCCTCATTGTACTTGAACATGTCATTGGGGTCCCACCCATTTGACTGACGTAAGACGAGAAGAGCACAGAAAGAGACATTTTCATAAAAGGTCTATAAACAATATACTGCATATAGCAACCTCTGTTAAATTAAATATAACCATACAAGGAATTAACAGCAACAATACATATGAACAGCCCAGACTCTAAACCTAAATTACCACTCTTACTGTTGTTTTCCAGTCACAGTGGGTCACTCACTATACTGACCAGCTCACTCACTAACCAGGGTGAATTTTGCATGTACAGCATACCGATGCAATAGGTTTTCACAGCTGGGCACCTTGCAGACGTATGACTATTGACATGTGTAAACAGTGATGTGTCTTGGCTCTCCATATGTTCAGATCGCTGAGACACCATTTTAATACCAAGTTTAAAAAGGGCCTTTGTGTTTTCTTACCACATCAATATCCAGAGACTCGAGGCTACCAGAGTTGTGAGTCTCTCCTCCATCCCAGGGCTCTAGATCTTTCTCTTTATGCTCGCCATTGATCCTGCTGCTCACTGCTGCATCTGTGAAGTTGTCTGCAACATATACAATGAAAACAGTCCCCTAAGAATGTATTCAGACCCATTACTTTTGCATAATTTAAATGGACACACTTGCCATTTTTGCCCATCAATGTACACTTAATAAACAATCATTCAGTTCAGCACTTTGTAGAAATCATTACGGCAGCAATTACAGCTTTGAGTCTTCTTGGGTAAGCTTTGCAGACCTGAATTTGGGCAGTGTATCCCATTCTTCCTGGCAGATCCTCTGAACATCTGTCACAAGTTCCATCTCAAGATCCACTTTGACATTATGATTACTTACCGAGTGTACATTAATGGATAAAACAAATGTTATCAATTTAAAATTAAATCTACAATACAATAAAGTAACAATGGAGTCTAGATACTCTTGGAAGCCAGGGTATTTATTGCAGCAGACTAACCTCCCACCCGACCCACACAGGCTCATAATGGTATACAGTCACATGGCTGCGTTCTGTTTATGCAGGGAAGCGTTTAAGCCTCAAGGACTTATACTACTAGCTCTCACAGCAAATAGTTGTGCTTCATCAGACACACCCATTCACAACTAGACATGGACCCAACTGGACTGGGGGGGAAATCCTTTCAAAAAGGTTTTCACCATTGCTTGAGCTAGCCTTGGTCAAGCTAACATTGATAAAGGGTTCTGATAGGGTAACCAAGACATAAAAACAGATTTATAAAGAAAGGGAAACGTGTAGTCCCACCTTAACTTATAATAAAATAGTTTCAGTGAATCAAGAAGTAAGGTACTACAAATATTTTCAGCAGATTAACTTTTTTTTTTTTATTTTGCACTTTGTTTTTCATCACCATGGCAAGATCTTGAAGGCACCACACACAAGCAGCGTGTAACACATGAAATCAGCTGCAACCACTATTATCAATAAAAGCAGGCACACCGGTGATGGCCTGACGCACATCAACATGCGTCAAGATAAGCTATTTTCCTATTTTGACATGCGTCAAAAGCATAACATACTGAAGTACTCACCCGTTTTGGTAGTCTCACACTGAATTTGTGCCACTACCGATGTGTGTTATGGGACTCATATAACGCTTATCACATGAGGAGACGACGCGATGACACCTGAGTGTGGTGCCCTTAATGTAATACCATTTATTCAGCAACATTCAAAACATTTAAGTAAACTCACAGAATACTTTGGTTAGTTCAACTAAAACCAGGGACAGGCATGCTCAAAGAAACACCTCATTATATTTGAAAGAAAATGTCTCATCTCAACTGAAGTCTGCTCTCACCTCATCAGAACTGGCACCAATGGACAATGTGCATAGAGCATAGCAGCCACCTGGAATTACATAACTCGGTCATTCAAAGACATCCCATAATATAAAGTGCATTTTAGCATTTTTTCTAGCACAGATCAAGTTTAGAAACACTAGACTGGCACTAGACAGACAGTGGGGTAAAAGGCCTGAAATACATTAGCAGAGGTGGGTGGTATGCTTTGCGCACACTGTCCATCAAGGGCCTCAAAATCAAAACAAGGAACATTTACAAATCAAATGTGGGTATAGTGAAGGGTAAGCAAACATGCACAGAAACTGCACTCAATTATATGATCTTAAAGCATTTCCAGAGCCAAACCAAATTAAACATCCTAACATACCATGACAGTTTTTAGTACAACACCCAGGGAGCAAATTAAGGTGCTTGTGAAAATATGTTGCTTTCAATGGAATTATACTCACAAAGCTCATAATTTCCTCTGTTACACTACATTCTGATTTGACCTGAGCTATGGCCAAACAGTTTCAAATCATGTGTAGCAACAGAAAATAATGCTCAGACAGGGGTAGGCAATCCCGGTCCTCGAATGTTGCTCCCCTGCTTGTTTTCCCAACTATCCATGCCCTAGTCACCGCTGATTACCTGGATCAGGTGTGTTCAGCCAATCAGAAGCTGGAAGATACCATATTAGATGAAGGTGGCGTGAGGACAAAAAGTGAACTGGTATCTTCAAGCTTCTGATTGACTGAACACACCTGATCCATGTAATCAGCAGTGGGTAGGGCAGGGATAGTTGGAAAACAAGCAGGGCAGTGGCACCTGAGGACTGGAATTGCCTACCCCTGTTCTGAGGGATAAGTTAAAATAGAAGCTATAACCATGTCCTGCCTCTTCTAAGAGTCAATGCTCCAAGAGTGCAATACTAACTGGATACATACAGGCTTCACCTTTGCTTGGATTTAAACCATAATAAAATTCTCAAGTCTTCCACCGAAAGCAACATCCAGTCCAAAAATAAAGGAGCTGGTGAAAAGATGGAGCAAGACTGCCCTGCATCACATATTTGCTGTTTTTTAAGGCTATATTTAATCAGTGATCCTCAAATTCTATCATGAAATTAGATTTAAATTGCAGCAATAATTAGGAAGAGATCAAGTCCAAGCCTTGAGGATTCACAGACTTTGAGTGTGATTTTATAGTTTTGATAAGCCTATTAAAGTGTGTATGCCTGAATGCATACAGAGATGTGCAAGAGAAGAAAACAGCCATGTATTACCTGTGTCAGAGGAGACTAGACCATTGGAGAGGAGAGAGACAGATGGAACAGAGTCAGAAGATGGTCTGACAAACAGAACGACTGACTTGCGATCACAGTTGACTTCCTACCCAACAATTTAAGATATGATCAACTAGGTGCACATTTTTAAGTAAAAATCTTTTCAGTTTCTATTTCTTTACAACTTGATTGTGGTTTCCATAGTTTTAGTCAAGCTGTTTGTAGCAGACTTCCACATCCCCATTTTTCATATATTATAAACGAAAAATGGGGATGTGGAAGGCTGCTACAAACAGCTTGACTGTTGTCAAGTTGTGGTGACACCCTAATGGGAACAGCCGAAAGAACAAGAAGAAGAAGAAGATAAACAAATGTACCTGAAAGGACAAGAACATTTCTGACCAGTATGCTATCTGCATAAATAACTTTTTAAATAGTAACAGTTAAAACACTGATGTGAGCTGCCTAGTTGGCTTGGTACTGTAAGACCATTAACACTACCAGTCATGCTTTGTTTTTATTTTCTGTAAAACACTGAAAATTCCAGTCAGTCCACAGCTGTTCAATTTAACAGGATAACAATTTGATCTTAGAAGTGGCACCAGTGCAGTATAGTCTCTGTGAGTCATATGGTGAAACCCTCACTCTTTTTCACTTGTTCATTTTCAGAAAATAAAACCCACCCACACAGCCCATTAGCAATCAAGGGACAATTGTGTGAGTCAAGATGAATTAGATAAAGAAGGCTCATTCAGGCTTTATTGAGTGTCCATGCTGCATCAGGGCAACCTTCAGACCAATCAATAGATCACATCAGTCTTCAATGACTGGCCACTCAAGAGCAGACACACAAGGTTCAACTCATGCCAAAGCCCCTGTGACATCAAGGTAGTGAATACAGACTTAAAAAGAGCAATATATTATGTATGCACTGATAGGCCTTCACTTTGGCATGTGTTTATTTGTGTGCGTAATGAAAGTGACAAACACCTAGTTATGCTGTGTACGATTGATACGTTTTTAGTATTTACAAAACTAGGTGCATAAAAACTGCTGTTTATGTGCCTAGATAGTATTCATCAACAGAAATGCCCTCAGTACCTTTCCTGGCAAAATTCAGGTCCACATCTTTGAAGGTCACCACTACGACATCTGAGGCCTTGAAAATGATGGTCTCCACAATGTCCTCTTTCCTGGGGCCTAAGCTCGGCTCTGGGCTCTTCCTGTGGGCTGCATCTAACACCAGGTCACACTGAGGAAGAACGTTCTGTTAAAATTGATTAAAAGGGGAATCTGAAACAAAAACCTATCTGAAAGCAAAAGCCTTAACTATCTACAGAAGAGATGAGGAACCATGACGTGGAGGACAAAGATCAAGCACTGGTTCATACCAATCATGCAGTGCCTGGAAAAACAAAACAAACAAAAAAAAGGCCACAATTTCAATAATACTTTGACCTTTTAGTAAATCTATTAAGTAAAAATACCAAATATTAGGCGGTCCCAGCTGCTCAAAGAAGAGTTGATGTTTATCTCTACAGTCAGTATCTCCACTTTAGATTGTCGGACAGACAAAACAAGCCATCTGAAAAGGTCACCCTAAGCTTTTAAAAACTGTGGCCAATTTCTTTCACCTTTTTCCTGACATTTTATACAGTAAACAACAAATAAATCAATCAAAAATGATGCTCGTGAGAATAGAAGGACCTAACTGATTTAATAACTGTGTAAGAAGAACTTAAATCACGGCCCAGCATGGCATATGAACATGCTTACCTAAACCTGAACTACAGGAAATCCTTTCTAGGTTTTTTTGGCTGACAGCATACATAAACCAAAAGTTTAACTGACATCAATTAGTTGAATTCTGCTCATTGAATGACATCCACAGAGCTTCCGATTTGCATGGATGCAGACAAGACTACAACCACCTAAGTACTATGAAAGAACATCAAAAACACAAACCCTGAAAATAACATTGGACTGGTGACTATAACGTTCAGCATGTTTGACTGCTCAGCTTGCACACATTGGTAATAAAACTAAATGTGATGCTTTGTGACTCAAAACTAAGTGGTGTTTTGCTTGTACAAACATAAATTTAATTTCTCTTGGAGAAACCAAGCTTTACTCACATTTCAGTCACACACCCTTATAAAAGATGTGGGAGATAAAACCCTGCTGTTCTATCTAAAAAAAAAAAAAGGGTATAATGTATGTTACTGGGAACCAATCAGGAATGGAAGTTGAAGTCTTTTCCCAAAAGACTGGAGAATACTTCAACCTAAAACAGAAAATGAACGGACACATACCTCTCCTCCATAAAAGGACAGATGGAAAGCATGATCTTTGTCTAAGCCACCTCAGGGGTGAAATAGTTAGAGTGCTGGCGGGGCACTATCTTTCCAGCACAGTTAACCTTAAACATTTCTGAAGTTATTAAGAAAATGACATATCTACCTCAATATTAGCATCCTTACCTCTGGACCATATGTTTTAAATACTCCTTCATAGACTGCTCCATTTTTCACTTTCAGCTCACAGTTTGTCCCCTGTAAATAAACAGACCTATCATTACTCACTGTATGCAACACTCTCTCATTCAATGAAGTGTCAATGTCAATTTACACATTCAAAAAACAAGTGCAGAAACCAATCTGTTGTGAAACTGACAAATGATTGTTCAGTTTCTGCTTGTTTATGCAACCAGCTGTCTCTACAAATGACACTGGCTTTGTTTATTGCACTGTAGACACTTTGAAGAAACAGCATGTGGCAAAAGACAGACTGCAGTACAGTTACTAATGCATTTACAGTAAGCATGATTCACATGGCTGTTTCAGAGAAGTTTACTGTAACAGTGTTTAGAAGACAAATTCAGAAGGACACACCACAAGACATATCTGGAACATCATGTCAAAAACCTAGGACAGACGCACAGTAAACATACCACCACTGAAGTCAAGACATGGACCATCCTCATATTTGCATATACACCACTGAAAATGACCTAAAGAAAAAAAACACAGTTAAATTCTGATGTTCCCCATTCACAAAAACAATTTGTGCTAAATGGGCTCTCACACAGGGGTGAACCACTGTTCCATTTATAATACAGAACAAGAACAGACATCCAGCCACTGGATTTGTGCTTTCCCTTAGGTTCATTCTGTGCAACTTTTAAACCAAACTGCATGTCTTACAAAAACATGGCATGTATTCAAATGATTCTGCACAAACTGAACTAACAAAAGCATTAATCCAGTGAGAATTTTCAAATGCAGCCTCCTTCCTCGGATCGAATACAGCAGTCAGGTATACAAAGCTTCTGAAGATATGTGTCATTGTATCATAAAAGCTACATTCCAGTAACTTATGAGTTAACAGATTACTTACTGATGTAGGACCTTTACCACTGTGTCGTCCCCTGAAAGAAAAAACATGCCATTGTTGTCAAACTCGCCATCTTAAGTTCTTGCCAGCATACTGAAACAAAGGCTCTCTATAGGGGATAACTGTGCAACTGAAAAACAGAACTCTCAGGAGGTGGTGGTGAAAATCTCTAAGATGGCACCAAACTGCTATTGCACATGTTAAGGGAAAACCCTAAGAATCACCAAAGAGCTATCCAATTTAGTCTATATTGCAGAGATTTCCCGCAGATCATATAATAGTCAAGGGGCTGCCAGCCAAATCCTTAATAGCCCACATTTTTAACAAGCATGTCCGAAAATGCACCTTGTTCAGCAGCTGGCACATGGCCAGATACTCCCACTTGATTCTATGTAGGAAACGTCCACTTTCCCTGCATTATCCCGTTGTGGTAGCCTAAATGACTACTGTGTTCATTTGAACACACTAACCCAACTCATTTCGAACTGAAATGGGCTGCTTTTGTATGTAGGAGTCCAACTGGTCCAGTCGTGTTTTATAATTTCTTCGCATGGCCTTTACAGAATAAACCTACGCAATGCATGGGGCGTACTGTCCTAGTGACCGGCGAATAGAAGCCTGGCCAAAATAACACAACTAAAATTCACAATACGCATGCAGCTCCTACAAAGACAGTGTGAATAAGCTCTATCTTGAGACGACATGTACAGAAATGTCATGCTTCAAGGACACTATTTCACCCGAACAGCAACGGCAACGTCAAGGTTGAAAGCCCGTCGGTCTGTTCTCCCCTCTCCTCACCCGCCCCTTTCCTTTCGTGTGGCCACACGCTTTAAATCAATTTTTGGCAACCCCGTTGCAGCAATGTTGCGGTAATGTACCAAGCTACATGACAGCCAATTCAAAACAAACACCGTTATCAGCAAGTGTCTTAGGCTGAGATGTCGCCAGGTTGTGTCGCGTTAGCTAGCTGTTATAATAGCCTACTGAATTAGATACATGCACTGAACATCGAGCACGGGCTGTTAAACGGCTAATTAAGACTAACACTAGCCAAACTGAATCCAAGTTGACAGTAAACTTGGCATACAGACTCACTGCTACATATATGTAGGAAATGTGTCTGACCACCCACACATGTCACAATGCATAGTCCGGGTCCACCTGACATGTTTTATTCAACGTGCAAGTGGAGGTACCGTTACAACGAAGTTGCAACATTACTGGATCAAGCAGACAGGCCTCGCTAGCTAAACTGCTATCCATACATAACGTTATGCTAGGTGACCAACACGTCGCAAGGCCCGTATAACGTTACCGAACACGTACAAGTTTTTAACACTTAAATAGGATGTCAGCTCTCAAAAAAGGCCACTATTAGACGTCACTGTGTCGAAGTGCTGAAAACTGGCAACATTACCCCCCACTGCTATGTTTTTATTTCACTTGGTTACTGATGTTTTAATTTCACAGACCTGCCCAGATTCTGTCTTCCACCGCCGCTTCCTCCGGTACCAGAGGCGGCGGCACCAGCAGTGCTGCCACCGCCGGGCTTGCTGCGATTTCCACCGGCCTTCATTGACATGGTGATCCCATAAAAGACAGTGTCGTAAAATGACCAGCTTCACACCGCAATTGCTTGAGGATGAGGCAGTGTATAATTGCGTGACAGTTCGCGAACGTTAGTAATTCCAAGCTCTGACTAATTAACAGGCTAACGTCAACGTGACTCCTGAAGATGCTATGCTAAGATTCTAGTCGGCTAACAGATACTAGCTAATTAGCAATCTGTACAGTTCCTATTAAAACAATAACATTTTAAAAAAGACAACACGTGCCGATCATTCTTCCAAGATAAACATGGATGTTACACAGTTTGTCAATTTGTTATGTACTCTTGACAAAAAAAATCAACATAGGGTTCAATGCAATCTCGGGTTCTCTCCGTTGCTAACAGCGAAAAGACCAAAACAGTCTGAAAGGGGACAAAAAACAGCGGAGGGATATAGGAAAGACTTAACGGCTCACAACGTCTAACTAAATATTCCTACACTGTGTTCTATGACAACTATCAATCTACCAAAAAGACAATTGCGGTCATATTTAATCTAGCTCACCAATACAAGTATATAGCCACCCTGTGTTAATTTTTTTTTTAAACCCGTACAACATGGCACTATTTTCAGGAAGTCCATGAATGCTCAGTGGCTGTTGTGGCATCCACGTGAGCCGGTGAGAATACACACCGGCGCACGCTCATAGACATGGCACATTTACACACTGTGTGCGCACATTGATGCTCACAAGTAGCCCGATAAAGATGAAACTCTGTTTGATGTATTTCCTTCTTGTAAGTAACTGGTCTAACCTCGACTATTCTGATGTGGGGTAGGCAACAAAATGATGATGACAATGATAACCTTTCATTTGATTTACTGATTTATTTGATTAGCAAATATTTAATCAGCAAGACAGCAATTATTTTCATAATTCCTTTTAGTCTTTTCAAGACAAAATTCTGTAGGCAAAGCTTCTCAAACTGGAATATTTTTTTGTAATGCCTAATTGTAAACTGAATATTTGGGAATTTTAGGCTGTTATTATATTATGTACAATATTTCTGTCTCTTTATTAGCCTATAAGTAGGCTATAACAGAAGTACAGTAGGCTTAGGCTTCTTCACTCTGTGTAATTTCCACCACTGTTTATTTGTAAGCTCCCTGCCATGGATGGTTCAAGTGTTCACTAATAGAAAATAGGCTACATGATTAGAATTATAGGCTACATGATAATACCTCTTTGATAGTACAATCTGAAAACTGGGCCCGTATAAGGACCCACCATAGTTTGGCCATTCAAAATTTATTGGATAAACATTTTCTAATAGTTCGATTTAAAATATATAGACCAGGTCACGTTTCATATGTGTCAGAAATACATATGTTTTGATTTAAAAAAAAAAAGAATGTACATCCGCATATAACCCAAATTTACAGAACATGTTAATGATTTTCATCAGGCGCTCTACACGGACAACTATTGCATAGTGCCGACTCGGGTTATGTATTCCCTTTGACAAGAAGCTACGGGATTAACGAAGTAGTCCAGAGATACGTGATCAGCTCTGACAACGTTCTTCATTAGACTTTTTCTGTCACCGAGATGGTGTTTGTTTTGAGCAAGCTCTGACAGTTATGCTTTACGGAAGAATGCTACTGTTAATATCTGTGGCTTTGAGCAGAGCTGGAAAGCTAACTTGCTACCGGAGCTATCATTAGTTCGCTAGCTCTTAACGAGATTCGACGACATAACAGGGTGCTCTGGTTTGGGGAATACGTTGTGCTCGATCAACCAAGCTCTCGCCCCGGGTAGTGTCAGTAGTTTTCAGATAGTATTTTTGCTCTACGTTATATTTCATTATTCTGTTGCGTAATCATCTGCCCTGACCGTGGGATGTGAGTGAGTAACACCAGCTTACTTGCTAACAGCAACTAGCCAGCCCTCACTGTTCACAGTGTTAACACAGCACTGGTCTCATTGCGCTTGCTAAAAATAAACTTCTGGTCCTATGCTCAGTACCCCTCCAAAAGTGGTGGGCTAGTCCACATCGGACATTTCTTCGGCTCTCTGGTAATCTCGCTCGCAGTCTGGCACTCTACATGGTAGCTACAGTGGTTCTACGGCGACTGGAAGAGCGAGTCGGTCCCCGAAGTTGTGACCCGAACCGGCCTGATCTAACGTTAACGTTATATCGTACCGGCTGGTGGACTTCGGGTCTTTGGCTGATCGGTGGCCGAATATCATTTTGCCTTAATGGCAATGCCTTGTTATCAGTAGTAATATAACAAACCTTGGTCCATCCCAGGGTTACAAGACCGAAACTTTGTAAAGGTAAATTTTAAAAACGCGTCTTTCCACTGACAGCTGTGAGGCAGACTTCATCTATCCAGAGCTGGACACCATGTCGGAGGATAATAACACAGACAAGTTCATCAAGGTAATGGGAATGAAATGTGCGCAAGTAACCACTGTTGTAGCTTTTACTTAATAAGAAGTAACCCGTTTTAATCTTGGTTTAATGAAGGTGCATCATTTTACGTTGATGGTGAACATTTTATTTTCTCTTAAAGGGGGGGGGATTGAAGATTATTGTAATGTGACAACTGGGTGCCCCAGCTGGAGCCGATTTCATTTATTTTGTAGATTTGTATTAGTGTCTACAGTGATCTTTAATGTTATTTCTGTCAACATGATCGTGGGTGCATATTGTTATAACGGTGATTGCATTGAAGTTACAGTAAAACATACACTTGTCATGTGCACAGTTAGGAAACATGTTTCCCTGTACAATGCAATTCTTACTTTGCCGTCCACATGAATGCCTTTAGTAGTCTGAATCCTTTAGTAGTCTTGTAAGAATCTTTACAAATAGAGAAAATATGAATCATAAAAACATGTTATAGAAAGTTTTACCAATGATCAACACTACTTTGGAGCTCAGACCTACAGTTTATAGCATGGTCAGATTTATCAACAGGAAAATTTCCATGCACCCTGGCTCTTGGATTTGTTCCTGGCCTGCTCCCCTCAATGTGTCATGACCCAGGCTTCTATGTCAGCAGTAAAATGTGATCTCAAGTGGCTCTGGGCCCCACACTAATAGTTGGGTTAGAAGAAGCTGAAAACTGGAACACAGACTGAGTATTGATTAGGGCTGTTGACATGAAGAAACATTAGTTTAGCCTGTTAACTTTAGGCTTAACCTGGACTTTTTTTGTATCAAAGCCCTTGTACACTCTTAGTGTGATGATAGTGCATGGCAGACATGTATTTAGAAACCCTGCCTCTTCCATGTGAGCCTGCTGGGAAACCTAGAATTAACTGAGTCAGTTGGTAACCACAGTTTTTAGGCCATTTATCCCAGACTGCCAAATGTTTGGCATAATTAAGTCAGATCCTCCAAAGTTATGAAGTTTATGGTACAAACCCTTTTGTAGTTGTGTAACAAAGACCAGCCACTTATCCGATGTTGCATAATCATGATGAATCCTGATTGTCATCAGCCTCTCCTGTTTGCACAGAGCAGAATGGACTGGCCAGTGCATTGTAGGGAGGAGACCTTATGGTACCAGTTGGCAGTGGCACACCATTAAATGCATTGTGCTGGCCAAGATCAATCTTTTGTCAGAAAGAGAAAAGGGACTGATTTAATCATCTTCTGATCTTAAGTTTGGGGTTTTGGTCACTTACACGTATTTACTTAAATATAACACACTGCTGGAAATACTGATAAACCAAAAATCCAGTACTAGTCTGATTCTAAGAACTCCATTTCAGTAATTTTCAGATTTTTAACTCTTCTTCCAGGATGGCATCCCATCCTTTTCTAACTGTTTTATAGGAAGCATTGCCTAAGTCTATCCAGACGTGTTTTTTGTAGAAGCCAAGCGGTCTTTTTTCCAAGTTAAATTTCTGTTAAGCTTTAGCACTAGCATGATACAACAGGTCATAATGGATAAAATAGGTGTTTCACAACCCAGGGGTAACGCATTGAAGAAAATGCTTAGCACTTGTAATCACGAGAATGTCAGTAGAATCTGACAAAGTCTTTTATAAGTGAATCTTATGAATTTAGGCCATAGACTATATTATATTAAACAGCAGTTTCACTTGGTATTTCATCTACAGTATTTTCTTTTTCTTTGTAATGGATGTGGGTGGCCGTGGGCCGGCGATTGCACTGCATGAACCAGATAACTGAGAGTAAAAGGGAGCCATGCAGTTATTTCTGCACAGAGCTTCCTCTCTTTCTCTTTCAACATCTTGACATATTTTCTGGTGTGGTTTCTCTTCCAGGAGACATCCATTCTGGATGAGTACAACATAAACTGGACACAGAAGTTGGGAGCTGGCATCAGTGGACCTGTCAGGTGTGTGTGTGAAATGGAGAGAGTGTGTTAAGAAAAAGGTCTTCCTTTTTGTTATCTTTTTCTACTCATTTAACTGTCATCAGATGCAGTGAAACAAAAATCGATATATTAAAATTTTACCAGGACAAGTATTGCATAACCAGGAGACATCATTGTAGCATCTGCTTGTGACTGGGAAAATCACCTGATAAATTGTTTAGTCGGTGGAAGCGAGTAATCATTTGACATTTCTGACCATCATTGTTAAGGGATGTAGAAATCTTTCTGGGCGAAATCCCACATGCTGGGTTGAGACTGCTTTCTAGTTTAACTTTCATCAGACAATTCTGAACATTCTAAAACTGTGTAACAGGATTAAAGAGAGAGAGATCCAGTGATATATTGCCCAGCCCTTGCAGTGCATTACACTACTGTTGTGGTTGCAGCCACACCGTTGGCTGCTGGATGTCAGAGCAGATTATTTGGATGGTGTCAAATGGACAAACTGTGTCTACTACCAAGAAAAAAAGTTTCCTACATGTTTTTTTGATGTTTTCTGTGATAAGATGTACTCGGATCATGTGCGGATGCATGAGAGATTAGCAATAAAACTTATCAGTTTTCTTTATCTGTTCACTCCCCCTCTCCCTTCTTGTCTCTGATCTTTTTCACTCTAATACCCAGGGAGTAATGTATCACATGAAAGCATACATTTCTGAAATACTAACAATTAGCTGCAATGATGTTCAAGTATTTTTGCATTTAAACCATTACAAACTTTATGGAGTTATGTGAAGAATCTTGACAATGGAATGAAATAGTCGTCAGGCTTGAAGAGTGTGCGTTGTCTGATTTAGTTAGTTACTGTCAAAGGTTACAGAGGCAGTAGCACTGTCCGTGCTATGTCAAGTTTGCTCTGTGCAAGTCAGACTGCCCAGCTGCCAATCAGGCAGTAATATATCAATGCCTGTCACCAATTCCTCTTGGACTTTGAAGAGATCATGGGGCTGGATCAGCAAGGAGAAATCAGTTTTTCCTAATGTGTGTAATCTGCGCCTCAAGTGAGAAGAATACTGAACTCATCTACTCTCCATGTAAATACATGTCTAATGGACTCTGTCTTTTTCCACTCTAACTTTAGTCTGTTTCAGATTTTTCTGACTCATGTAGAATTTTGTCTAATATAATCTAATTTATTCTCCTGTTCACCCCTTGTTCACCTCTTTCTTTCTCATAACACATTCATGTCTTTTACTGTCCCGGCTCCCCTCTGTCCAACTCTGTTATTCATTAGGTGGGTATTACTTTCCCCCGAAGTGAACTTTGGCCAAAGTTTCTTGCAGTAATGGTTTAATAGTGTAATATGAGTTTTAAGGGCCAGCGGTTGCTCTTAAGGGTGACTATTTGAGTCCTTACTTCTTAGAGGAGGGGGAATGAGTTAATAGACTTTTCAGAAACTGAAGTGAAACCTTGTGACAATGAAAATATATGACATGTACAGCTGGGGTGTCCTCCCTCAGAAAAATTTGAGCTTCAAAGACATTGTTTCCTGCATTCTAGAAACTGTAAAAGAATTAAAATCATTAATACACTGCAATAATGTAAATGTAAAATGCTTTTCAACTTTTAATTCTCAGTTAGTACAGAGACTACAAAATAATTTGCCTCCTTTAGCAAGAACTCTGACATAAACATGAAAATGTATCAGTTTTCATTTGCTCAGTGGTTGCAAAAGGGATGGCCCTTTAAAACTTTCCATGAGAAATTGAAACTCTTCTTTCCATGACTTCTGAAATTTACATGAGTATTTCTTTCGCTCTTCTCACTTGGCATGGGAGGAGGAGGTAGAAACACGCTCTCGTGCATACCAAGAGGGTGTAGCTGTATTGTTGTCAAGTTGGAAGCAATATTCTTGTGATGGAGAGTACCAGGAACAGGTTGTGATAATGAAAGGGGGAAATGGTGTGAAATTTTGTCATAAATTGGGAGAATTTGACCACGGGAGGAAATGAGGGCAGGGCAGTGAAAAACCTGAGTCTCCTGGGAAAATTGGGAGGACTGGCAAGTATGTTAAAGCCATTAAACTAGAATTAGAAGTGACACACCTGCAAGTTTACAAGCACAGTGTTCAGCTAAACATTGTTTACAGCAACAGACTGACTATAAATACCAGAGCTAGTCTATTAATAGATTACCTGAAAATCAACACAAGAATTAACAACTACATTGGAACTTGGATAATTGTTGAAGTCATGTTTTCCTGTTTTCTTATTCTCTTGGTAGTTACAGTATGAGCCTTAATCATCATGAGAGAAATAAATACCAGCATTTTCTGGCTCTTTTATATGAAAATCTTTATACAATGATGCACATCCAGTCTATTTCCATTTTGATGGAATGATGCCTCCATTACACATATAATGGTCTATAAGTATATCAGTATGCATGTCATATTGCTTCAGTGAAGAATTATAAGCTTCTACATCAATGGATGATGAAGGAAAAACCAGAATAAATGAGAGCATGACAGTGCCCCCATCCATAGGGCATGAGGGGTCACTGAATGGTTTCATGAGTGTCAAAATTTGTCAACTTGTCTGTATATGTAACCTGTCAGATGCTTGGCCATATATTTTCTGTGCAGCCACAATGATTACCTTTTATAGAAACAAATGACCTGGGAATTGTTTGCCTGTGAGACTACAGAGACCAAGCTATTGATACACGATCACATCGATGACAAATGTTGGATTATCATGTTGTGTGAGATGTTAGTTGATTTTTGCTTCCTTCCTGTTTAGAGTTTGTGTAAAGAAGTCAACTCAGGAACGCTTGGCCCTGAAGATCCTCATTGATCGCCCCAAGGCCAGAAATGAGGTTAGAGGGAACACTGTCGCAGCTGTGATTCTTAGTCAGTCTTTGGCCATATAGGTATGCTTTGTACTGCCTTCTTGCCAAATGTTAGTGTTTATTACCTCTGCCAATGGTGGGTGTTATGTTTTTGCAAGCGTTTGTTTGTTAACAGCATAACTCAAAGTAATGAACTGATTTTAATGACATTTTCTGGAGAGGTAGGGTATGGCCCACCGAACAATTGATTAGGTTTTGGTACTGATCTGTCCCATAATTTGGATACCAAATTTTTCTAAAAGATTATTCATTATTGTGAGTGCTGCAAAAGTTGACTGCATGTGAGCCCCCTTGTGGCCGACGTGCATGACTGAGCTGCTGAACACCGAAGTGAAGACAAGTGCAGCTACTAAGTGTAGTGTGATTTGTGTGCATCCGTGATGAACTGTAAGTGCTTCCACTGTTGGGATCTAGTGAGCGCTACACCCTGTGCATCCCTTAACCATCACCTGGCGTAACCTCGTGTTGACGCAGACTATCCTGCTTTGATTTTCCACTGTATTTTTCTGTGTCAGCCTCTGTTTTATAGGCGAGACACACTCACAGAGCTGGGCAGAGGGAGAACACAGGACGTGAAGTATCCCTCCATAGCCAGTAACGGAGACTGTATGAGCAGTTTATCAAACAGCTGTTGAAAAAGCAGAACGCAGAATTGTGAAGTCTTCACTCTTTGCCCACGGCCCACTCACAGAAGTCCCCATTTAAGCCCTAAACCAATGAGTGGATGTCTCTCATGGCTGTCGGTGTTCTTGAATTCCTTCCAAGATGATAATAATAATAATATTAGCATCATCCAAATGCCAGCAGTAGGTTTTAATGGTCAAGCAATCATGTTATGAGTGTCTTTAGGAATCTTTCTTTTGTGGCATTAGGGGGAAACGGACATGCCCCTTGGCGGAGGTCTGCGCTCTCTGAGTGCGGTCTAGTTTTTCTATCCTCATCAGTCTGTTTCCTGTGCTGCTTCTGTCTGTTTGTATAGGCTTCTTTGTCTGTTACATTGTCTTCCTGCAGTTTGTCTAGCAGCCTCTTCATGTCATTAGCAGCCTTATGTTTTTATCAAGCATCTTATATACTGTATAAACAAAACATACAGTCAAAATAAGCAACACAGACTTGGTTCACACAAGTTCTCGCTGCTAAATTGTGAACAGTGTCACTGACAAAGAAAAAAAAACACAGATTCTTGCCCCTAATCAATATGTTCTTAGGCACTTGTATCATCATTATTTCGAGGCTATGATAATGATGAGTTTATAAAGGTACCAGTGTCTTGCAAATAACTTTTGCTTAGTTTGACACTTCATAATTTGACAGTTTCCAGGTGTTTATCCCCCCCACACACAGTCCCATGACCTTTTTTGTAAATATGATGGAGGAACAAGAAATAAACAAGACCATCACATCTACATGAACAAATTTTTAATTTCTTGTCTACATGGTAACAGTTTTTTTTTTCCAGTCATCAGTCTAATGCATGTTTGAAAGAAGATATAACCTATTACTTTAATGTCAGGGTTTTCCTGCATTATACATGGTCTGAATGCATCCTGTGCAGACAGACAGGGGACTGGTACTGCTGCCTGCTGCTTTAGAGATTTCATTATGCAGTTACTGAGGCATTTCTTTAATATCTCTTGCTCTGTTAAACCATTGTGGGAATGTCACAAATCAGAGTTTTTATGTCAATATTGGATCAGAATTTACTAAACCACTTTGTGTTGATACCAGAATATAAATGCTTATGCCATGGTGGGATATGCTTTTTGTACAGAGGAATATCATTACTGTTCTTTTGCATGATTTTAAAATCAAGGTGTAATGTGTTTATGTTAGCTATACACACTGATTCTCCTCCATGCAGGTGCGTCTCCATATGATGTGTGCCAACCACCCAAACATTGTGCAAATCCTGGAAGTTTACGCTAACAGTGTCCAGTTTCCACATGAGTCCAGCCCAAGGTGAAGAACTCTGTTTGTGTGAATTTGTTTATTAAAATCCTGTGCATTTCTTTTTTTTAGTTGTCCATATCCTCTCTTTGGGTGCGTCCTCTGACAATCCACACCCTCTCTCTTGTTTTCTACAGAGCGAGGCTCCTGATAGTTATGGAGATGATGGAGGGTGGTGAACTTTTCCACAGAATCAGTCAGCACCGGCACTTTACTGAAAAGATGGCCAGCCAGGTCACTAAACAGGTAGGTGGTGATACTCCAGCATGTCAGGGACCGACACAGACTGCTTTTCTTTAAGCTCTCTGTTTACGTTCAGTAATTCTGGTCAGTCAGTCTCTGTCCATCTGTGGTTTCTACTCCCCATCATTTTGCCAAGATTTTTCTGTGAAACATATTCTTCCTGTTGATAACAGCACAGCAGTCTTGTGGCCTCTTCATGTTATTAACAGCATCCTGCTGGGATCAAGCAGCTCATGCAGCAGTGAGATACATGGTCAAAAGTCGAATCAAGACTGCTTAAAATATGATTTGACACACACATGTAGAATGGTGCCTCAGTCTCTCTCTTCCTCTGTAGATCAGTCAAGCCTTGGAACATTGTCACTCTCTAAATATTGCACATCGTGACCTGAAGCCAGAGAACCTGCTGTTCAAGGATAATTCTCTGGTAAGTATCTGGAGTTGCACTTCAATGAGCGGAGAATAAAAATAGAGGTAAATACTGCAATCAGTATATCACTCCCCTACAGATGCCACTGCTGATGTTTTTGAGCTAAATATCCTTGCACACGAAAATAATTTGTGACCAAGATAATGCAGATGATTCTGAAATATCTGATTTGCAGTTTGCTGTGTTAGATTTTAAACTCCATCCTTAGTCTAACAGTGGTATCTTTGATGTATTCCATAATAGAAATCCCACCAAGCTGTGACTGTTAAACAGAGATATCAACAGGCTGAAATATTTGACAGGAAGCTACTAAAATATGTTTCTGTGCTCGCTCCACCTTCATGCCTCTCACTGTGCGATTCTGTCTTTTGCACAGGATGCTCCTGTGAAGTTGTGTGACTTTGGGTTTGCCAAAATTGATCAAGGAGACTTGATGACCCCTCAGTTCACTCCTTACTACGTAGCACCTCAGGTAAAAAGTAAACATATAGTACATAAAACATCATAAACACATCAGTAATAGCTGAATGCATGTCTTCTTGATGTGTCTCTTTATGCTTCTGTTTCTGTTCAGGTACTTGAGGCTCAAAGAAGACACCAGAAGGAAAAGTCTGGAATTATACCTACCTCACCTACTCCTTACACCTATAACAAAGTAAGACCCATGCCTGTCCACTTTAGCGTTCAGCCCTATTGTGTCCTGCCTTGTCCTCAAATTTGATTCAGTGTGTATTTTTTAAAAATTATAAAATAAATGCTTCTTTTTTCTCTCCAGAGCTGTGACTTGTGGTCTCTTGGTGTGATTATCTATGTAATGCTGTGCGGCTATCCTCCGTTCTACTCCAAGCACCACAGTCGTACCATCCCAAAGGACATGAGGAAGAAGATTATGACAGGCAGCTTTGACTTCCCTGAAGACGAGTGGAGCCAGATTTCTGAGATGGCCAAGGACATTGTACGCAAGTAAGCTATTTATTTATTTTTTGTTTTCCTTGCTATGTCTCTAGTCAAACAGCTGAAGCACACATGGTAAACTCTAAATGCATTTGTTAAACATTTAAATGTCACAAAAAGCCAGATTTGAGACATTGTTCACAGGTATGTTGCGTCACTCCGGCAGTCCTGATCGTGGCTTTCTGTGGACTGAAGCACACAGTTTGCGTTTGCTCTCTCGAATCCATTATGTCTGTTATTAGTAGTACTGCTTTTTTTTCTACTTGTAATTTTTGACTGACTGCAATGTACTGTATATCCAAATGCATAAACATATCAAACTGCTGTGTGCCTGCATCTGATCTTTTATCGTCCCTGCTATTGACACATCTTGCCTCTTCCCACACTTCCCATACCCCTTCTTTTCCTGCTTTATTTTCATTCATCCCATCCCTTCCTCACACTCACTCATTCATCCTTTTTCTGTCCAATAATTTGAACTCTCTCACCTCCTCGACTGCTCCTTGCAGACTGCTGAAGGTAAAGCCAGAGGAGAGGCTGACTATTGAGGGAGTCTTGGCTCACCCTTGGCTCAACTGCACCGAGGCCCTTGACAACGTGCTGCCCTCTGCCCAGATGATGATGGACAAGGTGAGTGGGAGATTAAAGATGCCAAATCTTGTGCTGTTGTATGGTCATTCTGCTGACCCTTAATAAAGTGACAGGTTTATAAGCTACAGTACATGCTGGCCTGATTTTCCTCTTTGTCTTACTGTCTGTCCTCTCATCTCCCAGGCGGTAGTGGCCGGTATCCAGCAGGCTCACGCAGAGCAGCTGGCCAACATGAGAATTCAAGATTTGAACATCAGTCTGAAGCCCCTAAACTCTGTGAACAACCCAATCCTCAGGAAGAGGAAACTACTAGGGTATGATTGCTTTTGTTGAGGTTATTTGTCAGCTTTCCTCATCTTGTGCTTTAAAAGGTTTAGATACATGAAGTAGTTTTTTTCTGTAATTGAAAGCACTGCATTTTAAATTATTATTGCACTGTGCAAGAGCTCAGGGGAGGGTAGCTGAGGGTGGCAGTGCTTTTCTCGTTTCTGTGTTCCCATGGCAGTGTATTACTCTATGCTAATCTAAACTAAGACCTCATTCTCTTCAGTTGCTATTCTCCTAACGAGGTCTCTGATGCTGTGTAGTTTGCAGTCTTTGTTATTATGTATTTTAGGGTCCTTGTAATAAATAAAACATCAATATTAGAGTCTGAAATGGGTTTTGGTGTACGTGTTACAGCCCAAAGCCCAGTGACAGTTTCTTCATTCATGACCCAGAGAATGGAGGGGAAGACTCCAACGTAGCGCTGGAAAAGTTACGAGATGTTATTGCACAGTGTATACTACCCCAAGCTGGTCAGTAATCCCACACTGATGTTTAAGCCATTTTAACTAACTAAACTAAAGTAGGCATGCAACTGGCATTTTACTAAAATGCTGGAAATTACTACAAATACACATACTTTAGCACTGAATACATTGCACATCGGTATATACTGGTATAATTTGCTGCAATGTAAAACACCAAAGATGATGTATCTAAATTACCTTTAAAGCTGTGCTGTCATTTCTGTTCAACAAAAACATTTTACTAGTTTGAGTTGGAAATAAAGAAACTGTTTGTTTGTTTGTCCAGGAGAGAACAAAGATGAGAAGCTGAATGAGGTGATGTACGAAGCCTGGAGATTCAACAGAGACTGTAGACTGTTGAGAGACAGCCTGCAGGGGCTCAGCTGGGACGGTCAGTACCATTTCTTCTTGTCTGTATCTGGAAAATGTTGTTATCTTTTGTATTAAACGACTAAAAGCAAAGCAAAAAAAAAAAAAGCTGTTACTAAATTACTTGTAGTTGTTATTCATTGTCACTTAAGCTTCGCTCTGTATTGTCTGACTTTGTACCTCTTCATCTGCCTGCCAGAAAAATCAGTTACAAACACAGCAATGAATTGGAGTTGATACAATTGGTCAAATAATCAGTCAGCAGAAAATTAATCAGCAGTTGATTGTTTAAGTATTTTTTTAAGTAGATATGCCAAACATTACATAGGTTCCTGCTTCTCAGATGTGACAATCTGCTGCATTTGTGTTATGAGACAGTAAACTGAACATCTTGGGGGTTTAGACTGAATAATTAGATGTAAACTGTGACGATCTTAATTTTATAGAGATATGACAGATTGATATAAATTAGTTGAGTAATACAGTCTTGACTTAATTTCCAATGAATGGCAAAGGCAATGTTGTTTATATGTAAAATCACCTCTGCATAAAGTTATTTGTTCATTTAGTTAATCAGCGTTACCGGGTCCTTAACCGCCACCTTTTTGTGTTGCAGGACGAGCCTTCTCTGATAAAGTTGATCGTTTGAAGTTGGCTGAAATAGTAAAACAGGCCATTGAAGAGAAAACAAATCTCCAAGAATCTCATTAGCAAACATTCTTTTTATATTATTAAGACTCTTTTTAACTCATATCTGTAAAGACGTTTTTTTTTTTTTTTTATGTAAAATAATTCACATTTTTTTTTCATGACTTCACTTGCAAGACCTATTGTACAGCTGTAGATATATTTCAGAGGACTCATTGGTACTATAATTTTATTTTAATGGACACTTGCAAAGGACATTGAAACATATTTTCATTTTTGCAAAAAAAAAACAAAACAAAAACAAAAGAAGAGAAAAATCAGTGAGAGAAATTATTTTCTAGGAGGGAATTTTTATTATTAGCTGACTGTCCAATGTGTTTTATCCCATTTATTTGATTTTATTCTATTTTCTTTTCTTTTAAACATTCAGAGTTTTATTTATTTAAACAGAGTTCTGTTATTTTATACCTTACCTGTAGCCTGGCAGTGGGCTGTAAAGTTGAGAGAAGCTGTCTACAATGTGACTTAGTTCTTCCACACACTCTGAATCTCAGATGGTGTTTAAGTCTTTGTTTGTGTAACTTATCCTTGACTTTTTGGTGATATAACAGTCAAGGCAGAGAGGAAATGGAGTTAGAAGAAGGTGTTATGAAATATAAAAATGCTGTCTCAAATTTGTTCATTTTGTCACAACCTCTTTCATAAAGCTCTGTTATAGCTGGATAGGCAGAAACACTATTTCTGGTTTTCTTTCTGACTCACTCTGTTTTGACAAAAAAAAAAAAGAACATCCACTTGCTAGCTTTATCCTGAGCTTTTAGCTGCATTACTGTCTTCCTTAGAGATCTTTCAGACTGTGCCATGGGGTTGAAATCGCTGGGGGGAAAAAAAGAGTTGGTGTGTGGGCCTTGAATTAAGACTTTATCATCAAACTGTTCAAGACTGATGCTTTTACAGATTCCGATTGATGTAGGTGTCACAATCTGTGTTGCTCGTATGCATGAAGCGATAATACTGTTTGTATCTGTCAGGTAAAATTGAGTAAATATCAGATATTTGCATTGGCTTTTTATACATCTGCCCACTTAAGATGTGATTCTAGAAGGTCTTAAGTTCAGTCTTCTCATATAGTTGTTGATCTGGAAAATGGATGCTTTGATGTGAAGTTGTGAAGTTGTATCTACTGGGACTCAGACCACGGTCAGTTAATATTTAAGTCCTTTTAAAGCAAGAGTGCTTACTACATGAGCCAGCAAACACAAAAAAAATATCTTTGGTGAAATGTGGTTGTTTTTATGTAGGTAAAGAGCAGCATCCATAAACAGGTCCGTTAGGATTATAGTCTTATAAAACAGGATGTGCTACTGAATGTGCAATAACTTAATCATGTATTCATAGTCCATGCACGTACATGTTCATGAGATATTATGTACCAGTTTGCCAGTATTAGTGTCTTACATGGATCTTCCCTACTTTCTTTTACTGGTCTGAATACCAGCAAATCCTTCCTCACTTCGCTCATCCTCGCACTGTAGTTGTAATCAATATGATATTGATTAGCTGGAGTGAGATTTCCACTGCACTGTTTTACTCTAGTGCTCCAGTCGTATCTGATACTGTCTCTTCAAAGAGGGACTGACAGAAGGAATTTGTGTTCAAGTGTTTGAATGAGGCCTTGTTGGGTCTACATGGACGCTAAATGTGCATGTTGTCTGTTATCATTTTAGATTATTTCTAACTAATTTTGTTTATTCAAAAAATTTCTCACATTTATTAAATTCCATTTAGATGTCTTACCCAGAATTATTTCTGCTAACATACTCTAATATCAGGATTATTGCATTAGCCATGTTTTTGATTGTAAAGAACAAATTTGTTTATTCTGATTAATTAGCAAACCTTGTGTAGTAAACCAAACCTAGCAGTATATCGGCTCCTTCCAGCGAAAACCATGTATTTTTGATAAACTGAAGGATTTGTTGTTCATTCATTGATTTAAATGCTCTATGCTCACTTGTACCTTGTTGATGGGGTGGCGTATTCATCCTTTACTGTTATCATCAGTAGAAATAAAGCACAGGGTGAACACAAAACTCAATCATATAAAGTACCACTTTGACACACACACAGTAGCCCCCAATACAATTTACACTTTGAACGAAGATTCGTTTTATTTAGTGGCTGCTCTGATCGGTTAGTCGCCTCAAGTCAGTGCTGCCCTCTGGTTTCAGCTTCTCACGCAGATGCTTCCTGGTTAGTTTTCCAGATTGATCAATACTAAAAGTAATCGTTAGCTGCAGCCCTACTTGCTTTGATGCGGAGAAGTCAGATTTGTTTTTAGTTGATGATAGGTCATTCATTTTTAATCTTAACACATAAAGCATTTTCAGTATTGTAGAATCAGCTAAATATAGAACCTGATGTTGTTTTGATTTACTTTGACCATGTCTGTGTGGATGTATGACACTATACAATTAATTTATGTATGTTTGTGTGTGTGGTGCAGTACGCTGAATGTCTTTGTATGTGGAGGCCTCTCCATGCATCAGAACTTTTCCTTTAATGGTTTCCCCTCCTGCAACAGAATCTATATCCTCTGCTACCTGAGAGCACTATTGTGGAAGGGCAGTATATTTATTAGCGGTCGTGCACTGTAGTCTCGTATCCTGGTAGTTGTACCAGTGAAAACCCTAAGGGATCATAATCATACAGGTACAGTCCCTATAAAAAGTATTCTCCCCCTTGGATGTTTTATTGATTTTGTAAATCAATCATGGTCAATATAATTTGTTTTTTTTTTTGGCAAAAAAAAACCTCTTTAATGTCAAAGTGAAAACAGTCATCAATAAAAGGGTAAAACATCCAAGGGGGTGAATACTTCTTATAGGCACTGTATGCTTGTTTGCCGCTCAGTGTTCATAAGATCCCCAGAAGGCAGGTTGTGAAGATGCTACCTCCCTCCCCTGTTTCCTCTTACTCAGTAGGTGTTGCTGCAGGATGTCTTCCTACTGAAATTCAAACAGACTCAGCTTTGGACATTTCACAAGTATTTAGGAGCTTCCTCTAGTCACTTCCTCTCTCTTATCTGCTCACTGAAAACCGATAATGATGTATGAATTAATGTAATAAGAGGCCAGATTTGTTTTACCAACACGGATGTTGACTGAGGATAAATAACTGTGTCCCTGTTTGATACCAGCTCATTTAAAGTGAACTGAAAGGCAGAAATGGTTTAGTCAGCATTTCTGCTCTTGATAAATGCCAGTAGCTTCCATTTCCTCTGCTGTGTGTGTGCACTTGTGAAATACAGAGAGGTGGGTTTCATTAAATGCTTGGTTCTTTGGGTCTGGAATCAGATATA